ATTCCCCTTAAAATACCTCATCAGTACCAGGATTTTCCTTCCATTCTTCTTGCTTTCCAGGAAAAAGCAGAAGCAGCTACTATTTCTCAGCCAGCCATCTTAACTGTCTTCAGAGCAACAAAATAAGTGACAGTCTCCCAAACTCCTTGGCTAACACACCCTTTGTTTGCCAACTTTGTCAGGTTGGTCTTAGTAGTCATATAAGGAAGAGAGAGGACATCACAGCCACTGATAAGGAATCAGAGCCTGAGCAAGGACTGTGGAAAGCTCAGGCTGTTCTCAGCTGTCTGATCTGTTTCTCCTGCACCTTTCCACCTGCTATCTCCTAAAAATGGTCTGGGATCAAGTGGTTGAAGCTCTGGAAGAGGACAGCAGATCCAGAGTTTAAACAGTGAGCAGTCTAGGACATAGATGTCCATCCAACAAGCACACAGGTGACCTAAAATTAATAACAGAAAATCAATATTTCAGTAAGGAGAGGCAGCTTTATGCAGTCCCAAAGCAGCAGTACTGTACAGCTGCAGAGAACTGAATTATGACATCACCTCCACTCTGAGGTCAGCACTTCCTGATGCAAAGAAATAGATCAGTCCTCCACCAGGTCTGCACAACTCTACTGAGGAGCTCACCAAGGTGAAGAGCTCAGCAGCCCAGACAACACCTCAGACTGGGCTCAGGCCTCACCATTCTCACCCAATCAGGCCTAAGGTAAACCTCAGTGACTTCACAGACAGCAAAAAAAGAAACTCCATCAATGGTCTGCAGCTGTGCCTGCACAATTCCTGTTGTCAATGACATTCTTGTACAGACGTGGGGCACTGGCCAAGAAAGAGCTTTCATCAGCACAGGCAAGCCTCCTGACAAGAACCTGCTCTCAGCCACCTCCCTTCATCTTTGCTTCTCCTGCTCAAAAGTCATGAACTTCACCACTAAACCCCTCAACTTAAGGTCCTTAAATTTCAACTTGCAAACAATCTCCTCTAAATAATCTTTCTTGAATCCTTGATGTAGGCTGAAAACCTGAGAAGCAGCAACACAGAATGAGAAATGAGGTTTTGTCCAGGTACATCCTAGATGATAACCACTTACAAACAGTAACAGATGAAAATCAGGTTCTTTTTCAACCCATACTTCAACTGTAGCAGATGAAGTATCAAATTCAGCCAGCATAAACCTCAGTAATTACTACAGTAATTTAAGCTTATAAGTATTTGGTTTAAATCAGATACCTTAGGTACTCCTTTAGCACTTTTAAAATGTAATAGCTGCACTGTGAACCACAGTGTTCCCCAACCCAGAATACAAGCTGCCACTCAACTCTGCTCAGCACATGTACCAGCACAGCTCGTTTCCTCAGAGCACAGTGGTCACACCAGTAAAAGCAGTCCTACAGCAGCAACCCAGGGGCTATTCTAAGTCACAAATGTGGTCTCCTACACAAGTCAGTGACAGGCAATCCTTATGCAGAGATGGGAGCTCATGTCGCATGTAGAACAGCTCAACACACTGTTTTCACAAGTTTGCCCACTCTTTCTACAGAACTATATAAACTTTAAATATTCCTTAAATCCAGCAGCAAGTCACACACTCAGCGGGACACTGCTTGTTTGGCACTGGCCCTTCCTACTTTGATTTGGCCCATGCAATGCACCAGCTCAGTGTGGACCCCACCTATCTGTGAGAAAGGAGCTGTGACAGGAACACCTCCCCATTCAGATGGAGAGTGGAGCCCTACTACAGCTTTGCTTTGGCTGCTTGGTTCATGCACACGGGGAAGCAGCCAAGTCACTAAAGCAGCACAAGCCACAGCTCTGCCAGCACAACACAGCATCATCAGTACAGCACAGCAACTCTGCAGTAGCAGGAAAGCATCCCCACCACAAGAATAACCTGTGTAAAGCTCTGGCTTTAAACTACATGAGCAAACCATGTGCAAGAAATACAAAGCTCCTAGTCTGGAGACCTCTACTTGGAATCTGCAGCATATGAATAAAGCAGGACGCTGAACACAGGCCTCCCATTCCTAAATTAGCACCCTAGCCATTACTACTTTTAACTTAGTTTTGCCTTCCACAAGCCAAATTAAGGTGGAGAAGATGTTTCAAAGTAAAATCTGTTCCTGACAGCAATCAATAATCTGACTCTGCTCTTCCCTCACAGGCTGTCACACTGACACCATGGGGCCAGACCATCTCCATGTATGTGAGCTTCACTCTGCTGCAGTCCCAGCTGGACACAAAGTTCACTTTCATGGAAAGAGCACAGAAGAACCATTTTGATGCACTGAGCACAACAGAGATTTAAAGAAATCCACTCCTTTTGGAGTGCCAAAGAGAAAACAAGCAATTACAAATTGCAACAGTTTTTCCCTGGCACTAGGGATGCAATTTCCTATTAACGCAAACACACGTCCTGCACTGTGAGGCAAGTTCATAAACTAGAGGCTTCAAAGGAGTTTCAGTCTTTTCTGCCAGGGAGAAATGGCTTGAACTTCCATTTAGATGCTGAATTGCCTTTGCAAATTGCTCTTGCTGCCCATAGTTCCAGCCATTTGGGTGACAGTCACCTGCTGCTCCTAATCTATTTAACATGAGGGAGAGAGGAAAAGCAGACAAAGTCCCAACTGGAAAGCACTGCAATCAGTTTAAGATTGTTTCTAGTTTCAGGATTCAACAGCTTTCATTTTACAAGGCAAAATTATATAATGTATTTTCTAAAATTAGAAGCTACTAAATTAAATTCTTCATTTGGTAATTGTTAATTCTTAACACTCCAAAGCTAAAGTTCAGCACTAGCAACTGATACAAACACAGACCCATCAAAATAGACATTAAATGCAGCAAAAGCCTACAGGGGAGTTGACAACACAAAGCTCCTTTACTATTGCACTATAGCCTTGTAGCTGGAGATCACTTTCAAGCCACTTCTGCTACTTCAATCAGGCCGGTAAAATCATACCATCTTCTTACAGGCGAAAATAAATTGTTCTGCAACAGGAGATCAGGGCTAAATGATCTTCTGTTAAGAGCTTCAGTGAGCAGACTGTGAGAACTTGTGTCCTGAATCTTTCACTGCTTAAATACTGATCTAAATTCTTCTCAAGCTTTCAAAAGAGCAACACTCAACAGTAGCCTCAAACCATTTAGAAAGGCAAGCAACAGAGACAGCTCTCATTTCAGTTCCTTCAGTCCAGAAATGCACACACACACACACAGCTACCGTGTGGTGGCCTTTTATAAACAATGATTTGACAGCTGCTTCCCTGGGCAAGGAAGTCAGTGTTTAGTATTCAAAGCATTTGCAGAGGTTGGGGTGGTGCAAAGACAACCTCCTGCTATTCTGAAGAAAGAGCAGCCCTCTGAGCCTCACCTACTACCATTAGGGAAAGTACCAGCAGCTGTGAGTAGCAAGTACACCTTGTACCCTACCCACAGCTAACAGTGTAGCCCATTTAAAGCAGCAAAATGCAGCAAACAACATAAAAGAATCAACTTTGCATATCACAAAAATCAAGGGGGCAAAAAACATCGAAGGATTTTTCTGTTATGAAAGAGCTCAAGAACATAACTTTGTTGTAACTCTGGTACCAGAAGAAAACAGTGCTCCAGAGCTCACTGCAAACCTTCTGTCGCTGGTTCTGTAACCAAGTGATACAATACCTGCTGTAAACAAAACATACATTAACCTTGGCATTTGCAGAATTACTGTCTCATTGTCACCCAGGCTCCAGTGATTGCCTATTTCATCAAGAACTGGTAGAAATTTCTGGTGATTCCTCTGCAGTTTCCTAAGGGAAACAGTAAGCACCAAGCAGTGCAAAGGACATGAGAAAACCAGCTGGTGCAGGAAAATATGTCTTTTTCTTAGTTACAGTTCTTAAGAAACTACAGATAAGATACTGATGTCAAAAGCATCAAATGAGCATCTTAGGAGCACTGACTAACTTCTGTTCACATAAGGTAACCAAAAGACAATGAATGAAGTGAATGAAGCTTATCAGTGAATGAGGGGTACTCCTATGGTCTGGCTTGCTCAAGGAAGTAGCAAAGTCTCTACTATGGCTCACAGCTCTCCTCAGATTTTTCAGACAGCTCAGGCAGCAGTGCTAACATGAACAGCAAGAGCAGCAGAAGCCCCAGCTCTGCCTCCTCCTCCAGATTTAGGCAGGGTGATGTTATTGCTGGCAGCTGCTGCCCTCTGCTGTCACAAGAAACAGGTCAAGTTAGTCTGACAAAACCAGGTTTACTGCTCTATATAAATAAAATCCCCATGATAAGAACCAGCAGTTCACAGGGCAGAGAGATTTCAGGTGGGTTCAGCCAGGCCCCTCAGTTCTGGTGTTATGCATTTATAAAACACCTGGCCCTTCTTGCAGCACAGCCTGAGAGGCCTCTTGTAAGCCAAACTCAGCCTAAAGCATGATTTTACCCAGCCCAGCCCCTTGGCTGCAGCTGTTTCAGAGGCAAAAGCACTCAGCTGATCAGTCTGCTGATCACTCTGATCAGCAAAACACCTCTTACCGCCTGCAAATCTTTTCTGTGGATTGTGAACATCACCAGGGAATGTGCCAGCCAATATCCTGCTCACAGCACAGAACCTGGACTAGGCTGAAGGAATAAAATGTGTTACCCTCATCCCTGTGGGACCAGATGTGCTTCCTTCCGTGTCTCAACCTTCCCAGTGCCAGTGTCACCAGGAAGCTCTGCCAACCATTATAAACACCAGCCAGATGGGGAAGCCTAAGTGAATTTGAATTACAGTTATGAATGTCATGAATTTGAGTAAAGACTGAGGTCTGCATATAAGAATACCCTGCAGCTCTGACACAGGAAGATCTTGGCCTCATTTTGCCTGAGATCTGCATGTGCTCACAATAAAAGAAAAAAAACAGTGTGAAGAAGACCCAGTGTGCTTCAGAGCCCAGCTCCAGCCTGCCCCCAGCACAGCAGCACTCAGTTTGCACTGGGCCCACAATGGACACATCACATCTCCCAACTTACTTGATTTCCTCACCAGCAAAATCGAACGTTTTGGTGATTGTCACTTTTCCTGAATCTTTTGGCTTCTCCTGAGGTTTATTCCCACTGTTCTCTTCTTCAGTCTACAAAATACATGAAGGAGAAAGCAAAATAATGCATTTGTGGTGCCGAGCCAAATTATTATTCCAAAGGGCCGAGGGCCCAACACAGACCTTGGGTAGCACTTCAATCAGTGGGTGGTCAAAGCAAGTCACTCACAGACAAGAGAAAAGAAATAAATTTCATTCCACCATAATGAAATTCCCCATTTTGGTTCCAGGCTGTCATTGAAGCTCTAGGATCAAAACAAACTAAAATAATAAGTGAAATTGTAACAAATGTAGGAAAGAGCAAGAATGCATTGCAGTGGTTTGAAAGAAAGCAAAAGCCTTGAGACTTGGCTCTTCCAAACTGAGCACCACCAAGCAGGAAAGCTGCCAAGGTGAATTCCACTAAAGTATGTTTATTTTTTACTCAAGAATAGAGAATAACAAAACTCATCTGCAGAAAAAGCAATGCTGATCTCCCTACTTTTTATTTGAGAAGGAAAAATCTTTATCAAGCAATTTGTCAACAATGCCTCTTAATTTACTCACAGCTAGAGCTAAAAGGATACATAAAAAACCTCAACCACTGTAAGTTACCAAAGCAAACCCCAATTCTTGGTCTAAATCAACCACATACCACAGAGATCTTCAAGAAGGCAATGCAAGCCCAAGAAGTTCACAAAGAGAACAAAGAAATTGCATGTCTCCATTAATTATTCCAGGCTATGGGGGAACTTTCAAAAGCATCTCACATTTTAGCAACCTACCCATAAAAGTAGAACTGCTTAGAAGAAAATGTTCACTTCTCTTCTTCCCTCTGACTCTACAAGTAATCACCCCAGCTGCTCAGTCAGTAATAAGGAAAAGCAGGAGGGCTAAGATGAAAGGATTCTCATTCCAAAAGTTGCAATCAAATACTACAAAACTATACTTGCTCCACAACCTTCTGACAGTCATAGAAAGAAGCTTCACAGTCAGAACTGTACTCACCAGGCAGACTCCAGTCTTCTGTTACTGAAGATTTATTTTGGCTGACTATCTAAAAAAACCCAGACTGGTAATTCTAGCAACAGAAGCTCAATCGTGGTACATTCTTCCCTTCCACCACCTAAAGCATGAAAGGTTTTGACAGGGAAACACACACACTTGGTTGTACTGAGAAGCAAATCCTTTCGAATAGCTACCACACACAGAATTCTCTCACCAGAAAAACCTCTGCACACTGAGCATCATACTGGGGCTTACAAAGCACACAAGAATGCCAGATTCTATCTTGCTACAAACGTGCAACATGCACCACCTTCCAGACCCCCTCCATGAGGATGGAGGCACAGAGGTGCCATCACAGACCCCTCTTGTTTCCCCACTCACACATACAAAGCCTCATTTTTTTTTCTTTTTTAAGCATCAGGAAAGACAAAAGCCTCAGGGAGAGCTGTGTCCACGGGCACAACTTAGACCAAAGCTCATCATTCCTATGTCAAAAGAGGTATCCAGGACCAGAAAGGGAAGCCAACAGGGCTGTGTAGGACACTCCAAGCTGCTGACAGATAGCTCCAAAAGCAGCACCACCTCTGCACTTAGAAGGAAAGAAGCACCTTGCAGTCTGGCCCATCAGGGGATGAGAGTCTTACAAAAGGAGGGGGCAGGGGCAACCCCAGCTGCTTCCCAGCTGTGTCCAACACCTGATACCAGCGGAACCAAGGAGGCATGCTCTAAACCTTCAGGCCCTTCCCACACTCCCTGGCTGCAGGCCCAGGCCCCATTACCTTCTTGATTTGTGTCCCTTGTGTGGCACCCGCAGCTTTGGGCTTCTGTCCTACATCACTGAGGAAACTGGCCCAAAGAGCATCCTCTTTCTTTTTTTCTTCTTCTTCTCTGCTTCTTTCTACTTGCTCTGCATTATCCACTTCCTCCTCTTTCTGCTCCTCTCCGTTCTGCTGGGTCTTTTCTTCCTCTTTCTCATCTGCCTCTAGCAAGAGACCGCCTTTCTTCCTCTTCCTGAAAGCAGATGCCAAAAAAGAAGAAAAAATTGACCTGCTGCAACACTATTCCAGAGCTGAACTGTAAGCTTGGGTGAAGCAACATAATATTTCATATTTTTACTAACACATCCAATTTGGGAGGTTCTCTTTTAATCTTGGGAGTGTATGTATTTTATTAAAAGATGCTGCTGCTCAGAAAATACATTAAGACTGATGCAGGCAGTGCCCCTGAAGTGAACTGGCCCATTTGCATGCATTTCTATGAGTATATAATGTGTGGAAACACTGGCACAGATTGGCCAGTGGCTGTCCCATGCCTGGAAGTGTTCAAGGCTGGATGGAGCTTTGAGTGACCTGGTCTGGTGGGACGTGCCCATGGCAGGAGGGTGGAACAAGGTGGTCTTTAAGGTCCCTTCCAACCCAAACCATTGCAGGGCCCTGTGGTTCTGGGATAAAGCAGGAGCCAGGACGGGAGGAGAACCTGGGCTAGACAGAAACCAGCCTCCACTAAAGTATGTATATATTTATATCAACGTGAGTGCTCTGCACTGGAAAAGGCGAACATAACTCCTGCTGGGGAGGGTTTTGCGGCACGTTGTCTGTGGGGGCCGAGGTTCCCTGCTCCTGCCACTAAACCGGAGCGCAGAGCAGCGTTTCCGTCCCTCCGCCCCGCCACCGGCACCGGGCCGGCTCCATCCCAGCGGCACCGGGCCGGCTCCATCCCCGCGGCCGTACCTGCTGGCGGGGCGGCTCCTCCTGCCGCGGGGCGGCCGCGGGCTGTCCGCCGGCTCCTCCTCCCGCACCAGCTCGCTCTCATCGTCCTCGCTGTACTCCGCACCTGCAAGCACGGCCAGTGAGCACCGGGACCGCCGGGAGCGCCGGCTCCCGCCCGCCGCCACTCACCTGAGGGCACATAGTCGTCATCCTCGGCCGAGGAGTACTGCTCCTGCTCCGACTCCGACTCCGAGCCCGACATGCCGCGGCCCGGCCCCGCCGCCTCACGGCGCCTCGCGCCCGCCGCCGCCCGAGCGCCGCCCCGCCCGCCGCCGCCCCCTGGCGGCCGGGAGGACCGGCCGCGCCTCCGCCGCGCTCGGGGAGCAGCGAGGAGAGTCCGCCGGGGGCCAGAGCGCCCCCCCGCGTGCCGGAGCGTCCCCGCGCCGGGGGCTCCCGGCATTCCTTGCGGCCCGCAGCCGTTCCCATGGCAGCGCGGGGTCAGGCCGGGGGGCCCGGCCGCACGGGGGCCAGCGCTGATTGGTAGTGAGCCCTGTCTGTCATGTTAGACCGCTTCCCATTGGCTGCGGCGGGCGGAAGGGGGCGGGCGGAAGTGGCGGTGGCGGATGGCGGCGGGGCGGGAGCGGGGATGGACGGCGGCGAAGCCAGCGGCGGTGGCGGGGGGCTCCTGCAGCAGATCCTCAGCCTTCGCCTCGTGCCCCGCGTGGGAAATGGCACCACCACCTACTCCAGCCCGCTCTCCACCTTCCCAGGTACCTCCCCACTCGGAGCGGCGTCCGCCCGCCGGGGCCGCTGGAGGCCTACGGGCCCCGGGCCGCCCTCACAGCCCTTCTCTCCTCAGAGATGTGGTACGGCGTCTTCCTGTGGGCACTCGTCTCCTCCCTTGCCTTCCACGTCCCGGCCGCCTTGCTGGCCCTCTTCACGCTCCGGCACCACAAGTACGGCAGGTTCATGTCCGTGAGCGTCCTGCTGATGGGCATCGTGGGACCCATCACCGCCGGCACCCTCACAAGTACGGCAAGTGCCCCGGGCGGCTGTGCAGATCAGAGGTTGCCTTCGGGAGCGCGTGGAATGGCGGTGTTCCCCTGGATGGAGATTAGCGTTCTGCCTTTATTCCCCCCTTGCCCCAAGTTTGAAAGAGTTGCACTGTACCCCTTGTCGAGCCCTGCATCGGGCATACCAAACGTGCCATGGGTGCAGAGCCAAGGGGGCTCTCACATTTCTGAGCACATGGAGGAAAAGCTCTCAGAGGTTTGGTGTCAGTGCCCAGAAGTGGGTAATGTTTGCAGCCTGTGGGCTGTGGGTGGGGGATCTTGTGACAAGGGTGCGTCCTGACCCCCCACACCTGCTGGAGGCAGAGTTCCACACCAGTTCACCCGTTGCCACCGGCATGCTCTGGTTCCTGGCTGAGGTTTTTCAGACATCCCCAGCCTAGCATTCTTGCCTGCTGGTGAGCAGGGAGAGGGTCAGATCCCGCTGTTCTCTGTCCCAGCCTCACATCCTGAGGCTTCCCCTTCATCCCTGTGCAGAGCAGCTGTCTCACGTTCACATCTTGGCTTTCCCCCCTCTCCACAGGTGCTGCCATTGCTGGAGTTTACAGAGCTGCGGGGAAAAAAATGATTCCCTTTGAGGCCCTCATTTTTGGCGTGGGCCAGACATTCTGTGTGGTGGTGGTTTCCTTCCTGCGCATTCTGGCCACTCTGTAGCTCCTCTGGAGAGGCTGGAGAACACAAACCAGAGGGGAGCAAAGGACCTGCTGCCTCAGAACAAATCACAGGGAGCACAGCTCCAGCCTTGTGTTTCTTCTGCTGATTTAAGGAATTGGGAGGGCTTGGTCGTGCCTCCAGCCTGGCTTGAAATTTTAAAATTGTGAATTTTGTTACTTTTTGGTAACATTAAGTGCCAAGTGAAACTTTTATTTCTCTGGAGGGTAGGAAAATGGCTACCAGAGGAGGAGACCTGGGTACCTTTCACCAGTAACTGTAACAGGACATGACTAAAATGTGACACCAGCTTTGCTGGGATAGGAACAGGACCAGAGTGACGTTGTGTTCTCAGAGCTCACTCACCACTTTGTTGCTTGGTTTTCAGTGAACCTGAAGCTCTTTTAATGTCAGTTTTTAAATTAAAAAAATTGTTTCCTTCCTGACCCAAACTTCTTAATACCAGGTCATAGCCATAGTGGATTTGGGAGCAGCAAAAGGAAAACTCATTTTAGATGGATGAGAGTGCAAATTTGTGTCTGGGAGCTCTGGCTGTGAATACTGCGCAGGGGAAATGATTGGTATACAAAAGATTTTGTGAATTTTATTACAGCAAAACCCTTCTGGCCCTGTGAATGTTTTGCCCAGAGGCAAAGCAGAGTGGAATGGGCACTCCAGAAATCCCAGGTGTGCGTGTGGGTTTGCACAGCTTCTCCTCAGGCTGTGAAGGAGACTTGTGTTTTCAATGACCCTGTTCTCCTTTGACTTGCTGATGCTGTTCATGTTGGTGTGGTGGAGCTGGGTGTCTGCACTGATCTGGAGGTGGCACTGAACAGCTTGGATAAAATCCCTCATGCTGCTGCTGAGAGCTGCATGGCCAGGCTGGGTTGAGACCTGGGGTGTGGGAGTGTGCCACATTTTCAGCATCCAGCCAACAGCATGCCAGGGGCTGGGAGAGCTGCAAGGCTCCTGGCAGGAGCCTGGGTAATTCCTGTGTCCATGTGAACACAGCCCCAGATCAACCCTTCTCCACACGGAGTACTGTCTCTTTATTAATCGTTTTAGTGTTAAGTGACTTTTATCTAACTGGTAGCTCTGCAATTGTGCTACATGGCTGGGCACTTGAGCAGCTAACTGGGTGCTTCCTGGGGCTTGGTTCTTTGGGGAAGCTGAGGTTGAATTCCAGGGATGTGGCTGGGCAGTGCAGCCACCCCTAGGGATTTGCTGTGGGCTGTGTTTGTACCCAGCTCACACCACGTGGGCTGTACAGGGAAAGCACTGTCTGTGTCCATCCTTTCAGGGGACAGTTCCCATCTGTCTTCATTGAATTCCTCTGGTTTCCAAATCAGTTCCTTTTGTACCTGCAGCATTTCCTAGGGCCATTTATCTACCATGAGCCCATGTCCTCAATGCTGGAATGACTGGATGTGGCACTTAGTGCCATGGTCTGAATGACGAGGTGGTGACCAGTCAAAGCTTGGACTGGATCTTAAAGGGCTTTTCTAAACTAAATTGGTTCCATGATCCTTCAACAGGGCACTGTGTTTATCATGGAAAAGGGTTTCCCTATGCATGGTCTCCTCAAGAGTGGTCTGTGGACAGTGGGAGGTATTTTGCAGGAGCTACTAACTGAGATTACTCTAAATTTTAGCCTATGTTAATTCAGGGAATATAGATGCACAGTTTAGGAAATAATTTAATGTGAATCCTTCTCCTTAGGTGGGTAAGGTCCAAGTGGTGTAACTTATGCTAAGCCCTGGATCTGTGGAGAGCCCTGTGTGCTGTGCTGCTTGTAGAGAGCCAGTCTTCCTACCAGGCAGAAACAATGAAAAAGAGAGAGTAAGCTTTCTTTCTTTTGCCTCTTCCCACTTCGTATTTCAGTGTGTGTACAGAGTGCACAGTTTAATTTACAGGAATTATCCTGTGTTTTCCTGGATGAATTAAAAGTATCTCATAGAATTTGAATAGGGTGGGTCTGGCTTTACCTTTGAGGTGACACCAGAAACCAATGTCCTGAGCACCTGCTGTGCTCTCCTTTACCCTTCACCGGTGCCTGGCACCACTCAATAGCCATTAAACTGATTGCAACAGAGAAAGCACTTTATCCATGTGTCCTGTGCTACAGCAAGAGGAGGTTTCCTTGCAGGAACAGGGCTCGGGGGTGCAGGACACAAATGGGGCTGTTTACAGAGCTCAGAACAAGTGAAAACTTGCTCAGTAAAGTCACTCAGTGCTAGGTGAACAGAAAACATCCCATTTTCCACCCCTTGGGATCTCTGAGAGTTTGTTCTGAGGTGGTTCTGGTTTACTTGAAGAGTTGGCAGCTTGACCCTGTTTGGAGTGTTTGGAGCTGGCAATGCTGTGAATTTGGAGCCTGCATGCTGTGAAATTTTCAGGGAATTCTTGCATAAAAGGTGAACAATCAGCTGATTTGTCTTGACATATGAGCACAGCAGACGAGTTCTCTGTGTCACCTTGGTGCTCACAGAGCATCCTCTGCTCTACTGTGGAGGCTGCTGCTGGCAGCCTCCCTCTCCAGTAAAACCAGAGATAAACAGAAAGCAGGAGTAGCCTTGAGCTGAAGCACCAGGTGGCAGTTGAAGTGCTGGTGGCAGTTTCCTCCCCTCATTGGTTTGGCCTTCCCTTTCCTTTCCTTTATTCCAAGTGAGGCTTTTGAGGAATCCCTTTAATTTTTGTCATGTATTGGTAGACTTTGCTCAGTCAAACTTGCCAAAAACTGCAAAGAGTTGGCAAAAACATCAACACTGAGGTGTCCTGGGCTCAGCAGTGCTGTGAGCCTCTGCTAGGGAGCCCAGCCAGTGTGCTGGTTAAGGAAACACCTTCTGGAGAAGCTGCCTGCCCTGGAGGAACACCTGCTTATGCTGAGGCTCGTGGCCCTGCTCCCTGTGTGACATCCCCTCTGCCCCCACCTGGCTTCCTCTCGCTCACAGCTGCAGCTGTCATGAACAAATCTTTGTATGATTGAAAAGTCTGTACATTTTATTTTTCTACTGACGCTCCTAATCCTGGTGGTGATTATCAGTAAAATTCTGTAACTCTTGAGGTGAATGAATGTTGTGTGTTTCTTCTGCAGCACGACAACGGGGCCTGGGTTGCGGTTTTGCAGATGAGCTGCACTCCTGCTTTGCTTGGGGCCATCTGCACCAGAAATGTACTGGTTCTGGTGGTAAATGTTGTCTCCACTGGGAGCTGGACCTGCATCTGCAGCCAGGCACCACAGTCTGAGGTGGCATCTCACTGCTGCTCAGTTCCTGGGGACAGACTTAGCAGTTGTCCCTGTCCCTGAGGGGACATGCTGGGGTCCTGCAGCCCCTAGGCTTGGTGCTGACCTGCTCCCTGTCCCTGGGGCTGTTCCCACCCGGGGCCAGTGGCTTTGCTGGAGTCAGCATTCAGTCCCTGCACACTCTGCTCTCCTGGGCATGCAGGTGCAGGACCCCACAATGCCCCTACCTGGCTCTGGCTAACCCCAGGCCAGAGCAGTACCTGCACTGCAGGGTATTGCACTGCATTGCTGTTTATCAATGTACAACCTACAGAGCCTTAGGCCAAACAAGTGTTTGTAAGAGCATGGTGGACATTTCCAGAGGGCTGGTAGCCACAATGCCTTCACTGCTCCCCCAGACTCCCAGAGCATGCTCCAGGATCACAACTGGCCTGAAAAATTCACATCCCAAGTCATCAGGAATGCAGGAGGTTTTATTGGCAGTAAAAGGTCAACACATTCTCTTGGTTTCCTCGTGTGAGGATGACGGGGGGTCTCAGGTCCTGAGAGAGGGTCTCGAGCCAGGCCATGTAGAGGGAGCTGGGGCAGCGGCCCTTCCTGCCGATGGGCGGAGTGCTGCAGACAGCGCGGGGCATGAGGCAGGGCGGCACAGACAGCTGGCACAGAGTGCTGGCACAGCCCTTTCTCAGTCCATTGCAGCTTATTTCCTGAACAAGGGGCAACACCACATCCTCCCACCCCACAGGACCCAAGCTGGAGCCCTTGGTGTCTTCCAAGGGCTTTTCCCTGTGCTGCAGCACTGTCTCACCAGAGCATTAGAGTGTTTGTGCAGGACCTCCTCACCCAGGGAAGGGTGAACATTCTGAGGGACCATTCCCATGGGGTAAGAAACGAGTGTGAAGGCATTACTGAAACCTACATGGCTATGAGTGCTGCATCCCGTGAGTAATCCAGCAAAATCTCATTCAGCCTCACTTGGCGGAGCGACTGGAGCAAAAGAGCATCAAGAAACACAAATTAAATGTTTCCAGAAGGACTAAATTTTGTCTAAAAAGCAGGAGACCCTTTACAGGAACTCCCCCAGCACTGGTGCTACCTTGGCTCTGTTTTTATCGACCTCCTCATCAGAAATCTTCCAGGGACAGCCCTGTCTCATCTCATTCACTGTGGCCTCATCTTTGAAGCCATCGTTCAGCCTGAAGGGAGCGATGAGTTCATCAAATCTCTTGATGCTGCAACACAAGCAGACAGTGCCAAGGAAGAGGGCCTGGGCAGGATTGGGGGTGCTGTGGGGGCACAGGGAAGGTGAACAGGGGATGGTTACTGCTCTGGCCGGGGTTTCTGGTTGATGTCAGGGAGGATGTGGACCTCATGGAAACCAAGGCGAAACTTGCTCAGCAGAGAGACAATCCTAATGGAGGGAAAAGGACATATTTTCCCAAAGTTAGCGGGGAATAGCAGATCTGACAGGGACTGCCACAGCAGAGAACCCTGCTGCTGGCCTCAGATTGCACTTTGGATTTTTTTTGCTGTGCAGCCACATTGATTTCCAGAGAAATGGGGCAAAACAGCCAGGTCAGAGCTCACAGATCCCATTATAGCAAAGCTGGGAGGGCTCAGCAGGATGGGAAGCAGCTTGTATCACCAGTGGCAGTGGCCAAGTGGCTAAGAGGTGCAGTGGCCACCAGCACTTACGCCTTCCTCTCCTCGTCCATCCTGTTGATCTGCCCGCCAACAAACACCCGGATTTTGCACTTTCCCCATCGCTTCTTGCGCCCCAGGAGGTAGGGGATGAGCAGCGTGAGACCTGGCCCCAAAACACGCGGTGGGAGATGCAGCAGTGTCCCCCAGGCTCACCACTGCTTCCCTGATGCCAAAAGCCAGGGATGCCCTGGCCCCATTTGGCAGGGACTGAGCCCTCCTGGGCACTGCAGCAGAGGTGCTGGGCTCACATTATCTGGACAGATGGAAGGTGAAGGTTACCTCCATCATCAAAGAGCCAGTAAATGTCAATGGTCTTCTTGCCCTGCTTGCTCTGGAAGATGGTGCTTGCCTGCTGCTCACTGGCCAAGGCAGTGGGGTCTGCTGCTGGGGCAAGAGGGTCCTGGTGTCAGCAAAGGGCACCACCAGCCACAGATTAAAGGCTTCACTTCTTCCTGTTCCCAGCCCTGCACCCCATCAGTGCTTGAAACCCCCACCCTGCGTGCAAAATAATCCTCAGAGCTGGGGATGCTCTGGGCAGTTACAAGCCAGGACCAGCCTACCTGTGCCTGGGGCTGCTTTGCTGCCAGTGCCATTCTTGGGGTGCTCTGCTGCCTCAAATGTGGAGTTAACTGAGGAGGGAAGAGAAGAGCAAGGGCAGCACAGCAGTGCCTCACTGTCCCCATCCCCTTAGATCCCAGCACAGGAGTGATGTCCCGTCAGGACTGTGGCTTTTGTCTGGGGACATGGTGCTGGCTGGCACATCCCACAGCTCCATGTCTCTCTGCATCCCTGGCTGACCAAAACCATTTACCGTGTGCCTGCAGCACTCGGGAAACATTCAGCCCTTCTTTCATCCGCATTAAGCACACGCCATACTTGAAATCGAAAGCGTCGCTGAAAGGAGGGAGGAGAAGGCAGTCGGTGGAGGTGCACTGTCAGGCCAGCCCTGCGCACCTGACTGCAGCCGTCAGCGGGGCCACCACCAGGGGCCAGCGTGCCCGAGACGGGGAGGAGCCGGCGTGGCCGTACTGCAGGATGCCCACGTAGTCCTCCAGGCTCTGTGGAGATGCCGTCCTCCAGTTCCTCTTGTAGCCCAGCACTAAGATGTTAGGTCTCATCTTCCCGAGGCCAGCAGCCTACGGATAGATGTCCCCATGAGATCCCTCTGCAGGGACAGACGGACACAGGCGGTGTCAGTCCACTCCATCGGGGAGCAACACAAAGGGGGGTGCCTGGAGATCGTGGAGGGAGGTCAGAGCTCCCCCAGGCTGTGACAAAGAGGAGGGACCCTGCTGCTGGAAGGTCAAAGATGGCTGTACCTGGATGAGCATTTGGACACCACTTCTCAAATCCTCAGCGACCACATCTGTGTAGAAAGCCTTGATCTTCCTCTTCATTAGCCACTTAGTGTGGCCGTCTGCCATCAGCCGGGACTCTGGCATCTTCTGCTTCCGTGGTCCCTGCAGGAATCAGGGACAGGAGCTCAGGCAGCCCCTTCCAACTGATAGTCTTGCCACCAAAGACTTCTGGTTCCTCTCTTCCCAAACAATTGGCAAGATGTAACCACTGCACACATGGGAGGTTGCAATCACAGCCAAGAAAACCAGTGAATCCAGGGAGTTGACAGCCAGTGCACACAATCCCAACAGTCCTGTGGGTGCAGATGAGCTAGTTCTTACTGCACCCAATTGCTCTGGAGACTTCAGGGCTGCAGGACCCTCTCCTCTGAGCAACTACTTCATCCTTCCAAATCTTCTGCAATTAATTGGCAAAGGGAAGCCATAAGCCCACAGAGACATCCTCATGCTTCACCAATATTGCTTAACAACTCAGAGAGGCTTCCAGTTGACACATTTCATCATCCAGCAGCACACAAGTAGGCACATTACAACCTCCAGGTATCCTGGATACCTGTATCCACCAGGATACAACTGGATTTCCCAGCCCACCACCCACTGGTGGCCGGAGCCCCCAGGACAAGGAACCAACCAGTTTCTGCAGTGACTCACAATCAGCACATTGCCGCAGAGCATCAGGCTGAGGTTCTTGGTGAAGGTCCCCACAAAATCCACCAGTGCCGGGCGGAAGTTGGGTGGGCCAGTCAGTACCAGGCACTGCGGTCTGCAGGCAGGGGAAAAAGGGAGTGAAGAATAGTACTTTGGAGGCATCCAGCCTCTTTTGGAATGAGCCATGTCTCTTCTCCCATGCTTGGCCAGTGGCAACTATAGGGAGCATGTTTAGAATGAGAAAACATTATGTGGCCTGAGGGTCCAGTCTCACTCTTTGGTCTTTTTATGACACCAGTGTGTCTGTGTCTGCCTCGTACAGGGAGGGCAGGGTTTACTCAGTTTTCTACCTTATATGGCACAGACATGGGATTTTGGAGAAAGACACGTTTTGCTGTAGCCCCTGGTTACTGAGGGTGGTGGTGAGGATGTGGCCATGGGCATGAAGCCTCCCTGGGTTTACCAGAGGCAGGAGCTGGCTCTTCATCCCACTCCCTCCATGCCCAGCACTGCAATAAGCTGCCCTTGCCTGTAGTTCTTGATGTGCTCATCCACTTCACTCAGCCCCACTGAATAGTTGAGGGCCATGTTGTAGGAGCTAGCTTGCATGGAGGAGCCCCAGTTGACATCTGCATGGGGAAGATGGATTAGCAACAGGGCCAGACACCTTCTGGGGCATCGCTGGTGCCAGGTTACCACCACCCACCTGGCTTTTTGTAGAGGACATATCCCAGGAGGAAGATGACGATCCCGAAGGCAATGAGGGCTGCCCACCAGGTCAGCAGGAACATGATCACCACTGAGACAGCAGCTCCAAAGAGCGCAGCCCACTTGCTGTAATACCGAAAGGAGGGTCTCCAGCCTGCACGCAAACACACACAGCGGCCGCTGCCGGGACGGGGAGCCGGACGTGGCACCGGCGGCCGCAGGGCACGGCTTGGCGCGGCACAGCCCACCTGGGGAGTTGGTGACGGAGGCGTGGAAACAGCTGAAGTTGATGAGGGCGTAGGAGCAGAGGAAGAAGTTGGAGATGATGGGGGCGATGGCATTGAGTTCAGCTGTGGAAGGGGGAGAAAGAGAGTGAGATGTCAGTGGTGGGGACTGAGCCACCCTGCTGGTGGCAAGCTCCAGGAGGGTACTGGGGCAGCATGTAGCTACCGATGAGGATAAAGCCAATGGCAATGACATAGGTGAGCATGTAGCCACGGATGGGCTCGCTGTTCCTCCCATAGCCCTTCCCGAAGAAGCCGATGAGAGGATAGAGCTGGTCCTTGCAGAGGCACTGCAAAGAGAGACACAGTGGGGACAGCAGGCTTTGCCAGGGACATGGGATGGTGGTGCCGTAGTGGCTCCTGCATTTGTAAGAGCAAGGACCAAACTGGACGCATGCCCTGTATTGACAGCATCCTCCTTGCCCCAGGGCTGCTCACAGATGCAGAGCCCTGCACCAAGGAGCAACACCCACTGCTGAGCTCAGGGAGAGGAGCTGGGGTGGGCAGACACCACCCCCTCACCTGGAAGACTTTGGGGGCTGAGACAAGGCAGGCCAATGCTGAGGAGAGGGTAGCACCAAAGATCCCTGCTGTAATGAGGGGGCCAAATCCAGACACCATGCTCATGCTCTGCATGAAAACCAGGGGATCAGGAACCCCAGCATCCCTGGTGCACCAATGTCCACCCCAAACCTGAGGGATTTCCAGCCCCAGGCCCCATCCTGCTGCATTTCCTTTAACATTATCCAGGTAGCAAAGTCCAGCCACATCCAAAAGCCCACTCAGTGGTGCCTTCCTCTTAAAAAATGGCTGTTTCAAGAGCATGGGTGCCCCCCAGGATGGCAGGGAGGCGCCAGGCATGCAGCTGCCCTGGAAAAGCCATCTATTGCAACACATAGCTGGCCAGGAGCAGGAACAGGGGCTGGTCATGGTTCTGAGCAGTACCTGGTAGTAGTTGCTGAGCCCGTATCGGCAGCTCTGCTGTTGGGTGCAGGCAGTGAAGTTCCAGCCGAAGCTGCAGGCCAGTCCCTCACAGCCCGGCGAGCCCACGGCCACGCTGTCGTTCAGGCTGCCTGAGGCATCTCGGACCACACAGGCACCTGGGGGGACACACAGGGCTAGAGCAGGGCTGACACCTCTGCACGGTTTCATGAAGCCCAGCCCCACATCCTGTTACCCATGACAATTCCCAAGTCCCTGCCATGGGGCTGCCCTACTGCATGACGGCTTCGAGCAATGCCATGAGCTCCACTGCCCACCCAGGATGACTTTGCCCCATGCAGGAGTAGGAACAAGACCTGACACCTGTGGCACTCACTGGGATATCAATGCCATTGTACACAGCTTGCTCCTGGCTCCTACTCACCTGCATCCTCCCAGACCACCTGTTTTGGGTAGGGGCCAGTCCACCCACCCAGCCCCCTCACCCATTGCACCTGAGGATGTGCTGCTTACCAATGGTAGCAGAAAGCACCAGGTAGGACACAGTGGTCCAGAAGATGGCCATCAAGGTGCCCTTGGGGATGGCCACAGCAGGATCCTGCCCAAGGGAGGTGCAGAGATATATAAGACAGCTTTCCAGCAGCAGTGCTAATGTAGGCAGCTTATTTGTGGCTGCTGTACAGGAGGAGTTTTAATTCACTGTATCACAAAGCCACAGAGCATCTCCTGGCTGAGCCCAAAGTTTGCATAAGAAATAAAAGTCTAATGGTTGGATCAAAATTAAAGCCCCAGGGAAAATAGGGTTTGAGCCCTGAGAAAAACTGGCTCAGGCAGAAACAGTCACAACCCACCTTCAGGTCACCTGAAATGTTGGCCCCGGCCAGGATACCAGTTGCAGATGGGAAGAAAATGGAAAACAAGCCAAAGAAGGAGCCCTCAGGTCCACGCCAGTTGGGCACTAAGTTCTGGGCAAAAATATCAGCTGGGGGGAAGCAGAGGAGAAGCATTTGAGGCCTCTTGGCTACTTTTTTCCTGCCCAAAATACCTCAGCACTGGCTGGGGGCATAGTGCTGATGGCAGGGGCCCCATGGGAGGGGACACTGTGCTTTTAATAATGTCTCTCAGCAAGGAGCACCTTCCCATAGCAAGTATCTCCCCAAACTGCAGCAAAGAGCAAGGCTCCAGAGATGTACTTGGACCTGCTGAGTGCTACCCCAGCCTGTGGAGGACCCACCTCGGTAGCTGAAGAAGCCCTTTGCTTGCTTCTCAGCAGTGGCTGGGATCACTGTCCCCACAAGGTAGTTAATGAAGGAAACCAAGATGACCAGGAAGAACAGTATTTGTGCCTGCCAGACCAGAAAGAGACAGCTAAAGGACTGGGTATTTGAGCATAGAAAGAGTGAAGAATGCATTAGGAGAAACCCATGCCTGTTTTTGGGGAGCTACAGGCATCCTCTCCTCCTCAGATGCCTGGTTGCCAGCAGGGACAGCTCTTATCAGCCCAAGAGAAAAACGTGAGCAGGAGTGAGGGTTACCTTGGCCTCCCATTCCATGCCAGCCAGGGAGATGCCCAGCAGCACCGTCACAGTGATGACCCCAATGATTCGGATGTCATTGGTGGGGTCCACGATGAGGGAATTGTGTTCCTGGAGAAGGGCAACTATTCACAACATGGAAATAACCCTCTTCCTTACCAAACCACTATTTTTTCCAAGTGTTGTAGCAGCCACTGTTTGATTATCAGTGGTCCAATGATAATGCAAATATTGATAACAGACACGGGTTGTGCAGGGAGAAGGTGGGGATGGAGGGGTGGGGGGACACTGGGAGCCAGAGGACATAGAGCTGCTTTCTTACCTGCAGCAGGTCCCGGACAGTTTCAGCAAAGCCCACTGTGTGCATGGCCACAGCCACCGCGTTTGCAAAGGCAAAGATCAGCCCGATGGAGCCGCCCAGCTCCGGCCCGAGGCTCCGTGAGATGAGGAAGTAGGTGCCTCCTGAGGCAGGGAACACCCCATGGCATTACTGCTTCCCCCACGTTTTTGGGGTTCCCCCACACCTCACAGCCTATGCCAGTTCACATCCATGGGGCAGCCCCAGGATAAAGAAACCCCTGGGGTGGCCAGGGGGGAACACACTACCTGACTTCACTTTGCCATTGGTGGATATGGCAGAGATGGACAAGCCGGTTATGGTGGTCACTGTCACGGACATGAGGATGATAAGCCATGTCAGGGCTGTGTGCAAAGAGCATTACTTCACTCCTGTACCCCCCAGCTGTCCCTAGGAGTCCCACCACCCCCCAGGTGTTTGGGTGATGATGGGCCCAGTGCCACTGTCCAGCACCCACCGATTCCTGCCTGGGCGGTGATCCAGGGCAAGCGCAAGTAGAGGATAACTCCCCAGATGTTCAGCATGCAGCGAATCTGAGGGGGGACAGAGGGGAACTGGCCATCAGGCATTGACACCTGGGGATGGCCAAACCATGCCAGCTCTGCTGCTCCTCAGACAAAACCACCCTACGGAGGAGGGCAGGGAATTGCTCAAAGCATACGTGCTTGCAAAAATACAGACATTGGGAAAAATGCAACAAGGGTAAAATGCTTACAAGGCAGGAGGATACTCTGTGGGGGATGGGTCACACTCACCATGACGCCCTTCACCCATCCAAAACGGACAGGTTCTGGCACGGAGTCTCTGCCTGGCTCCCCTTCTGCCTCCTCCAGCCCAGCCTCTGGCAGGCCATTGCTCTGCTGCAGGTCAGACACTGGCGTGTGAAGGCGGCCCGGGTCAGGCTGTGGGACAGGGGGAGGCAGGTGAGGGTGGACTTCAGACAGCTGTCCCTGGAGGCAATGCTCTGGTTGAGCACACAGCTGGAAACAGCTGGATTCTCTGGCTTCTCTCACGGCCTTCTTGGGGATATGCAGTCAGCACAGCACCAGTTATGGCACCAAGAGGCAGGAGACAGAGTGACCCACCACAGCCACTTCACAGGGACCAGCAGCATGACCGGGGATGCCAGAGATGCTATGGGTACAGCCAAACCCTGTTACCTTCAGGATGGAGTGCAGGTCAGCCAGCGAGGGCCTGCCCTTCCTGGGGTCGCCCACCCCCTTGCTGTTGGCATAGTGGTCGTAGGCTGGCACCTCATCCACCGTGTTGTAGCCGAAGGTCCTGGTGCAGAGGGTGCTGCTGGACAGGTGGGTGGGCTGGACGCTGTCGCAGCTGGACCCCTCGGTGGGTGTGTAGGGACCCCTGCACCCCTCCTCCACGCCCAGCAGGGTGCTGATGGTGAAGCGGCCGCTGCAGCGGGCCGGGGGCAGATCTGGGATGGACAGCTCAGCCATTGCCCCTGCCCAGGAGCCTGCCAGGTGGGGGACAGGGTGGAGAGGGGCTTGCCAGCTTTATACCCCGCAAAACTGGAGCGAGGTGACCGGCACACACCCACCACTGATGCTAATAGAGGAAAGGAATCAGCTTGAACCACCCTGAGCTGGTCAGGGGGAAAAAAATAGCTGGAAGGGATACCAAAACCACCATAATGGGCATCACTGCCTCCCAGCGCTCGATGGGGGCAGCGATAACAGATTTGAGATTAAGTCCCAAGGACAGATCACCAGAGAAGTGCAGTGCTGAATTTGCCTCTGGCCCCAAACCAGGAACATTCAGTTCACAGGGATTTATTATGGAAAAAGGGAGTAAGACTCCCACGCACCCTCGCCCTTCCCTGGGATACTGCCCCAGACCCGTCAGATCTCGTAAATCATCTTGGCTGGTCTCCAAGACGCTGCCTGTGGCATGGAGCTGGGCCGGATGTGGGGAGGGGAATGGCACCTTTATCTCACAGTGAAACCAGAGGGAAGCGGGGAGCATGACATCAAGGGATGTGAGGGATGCCTCTGCTGGGACTCAGATTCCAGGCTGCTGGAGAAGAGAGGGTGTACAGGGCAGTGTAAGTCTGTCTGTGCTTGTCCAGGGCTGGGAGCTGGCAGATCTCGGTTCCAGGCAGCAGAGACACCCATGGTCCCACAGCCCCCTTCTCCTCCAGACCCAGGGACATGCTACCACCGAGCACCCAGGGCTCAGAACTGCCTCCAGTCCCATCCCAGAGTTAATAAGCCACTTAAACCCTTGCTCCCATCACACAGTACATGAGCTGAAGCTTGTGTGGGCTGTATCCCCACAGCCGCAGCAGGCGAGGACAGGGGGAGGGATGGGCTCCTCTTACACTCCCGCAGCCCCTGTCACATGTGCCACGAAAGCAGTTACAGATAAGATCAGCAAAGACAGCAAACAAGGCAGCAATAAAATTCGAGGGCAGCCCATTGGAATTTCAGCTCCGTGTGGCTTTGCAAGTTAATGGAAAATTGGGCCTGCCTGCCCTGCTGCCTCTGGCTGTCTCTGCATTCACACACAGATTTTGACCTGATTTTTGAGGACTTGCTCCAGCCCCCTTGTTTGTGTGAGGGCAGAACACCCAAGCCCCGCACAGCTGAGGGCAGGCAGCCCGGTCTGCATCCATGCTCAGCCCTTGCAGCACTGCAGAGCACCTCGGAGCCTGGAGAGCAGGGACAAGGGCGAGGTGGGGACGAGGAAAGAGCATCACCCCAGCACCTCACACAACCACCTCCACAAAGTGGACACCAGCTTCCTCTCACAACAGATGCATCAGCAGACTCACACCCAGCACAAGTGGCTTTATTTTAGAACCTCACTGTTTCATCAAAACCGCTGATTTGCCCAAAACAGCACAAATCAGTCTCTGAAGCGGGGGTCTGTTAAACACAGCACAGTCAGAGATGCTCCGGAAGACACAGGAGGGCTCCAGAGGCGGGCGAAGAGCGAAGCGAGTGGTATGATGCAACCCTGGTGTAGTGAAATAGCCGGATTGTAGGAAGCGCTTGTCGTCGGCCTGATTCACAACACCAGCTGCAGCAACAATACCGGGGCCAGCGGCGCTGGGAGCTGCGGGCAGCGAGGGGAGCTCTGCAGCACCTCCCTCCAGCCCCTCCACTCACACGGAAGAGGTGCCAAGTTGTTTCTGCAGGGCTTTCCCTCACTTCCAGCCGATCCCCCAGTTTGTTCTGGATATTAAATGCATCAGATGAACCCAAAATCGAGTTAAGCAGAGCACAGTGCAGTGCATTACACAGCTTCTTTTAAAGACTGCCGAAGTGTTATATTCCAAAAGGCTTTAATGAGGCTTTAATTGACCTGTTTTCCATCCCTGTGGAAGAGGGAACCTACCGCCCTGAGTGGCACGGGACACAGGAATGATGCAGGGGCTCAGCACTGCAAACCCACCATGCAGAGCAGACTCCATTTCTCAGCACCACAGCAAAGGAAGCCTGGGAAAAGAAAACAGATGGTTATTCAGCTATCTGCCAGTAACCTTTCCCAGTGGGAACACAGAGGTCATCTCCCATCTTTTCCAGACACCATCTCCATCCTTCCAACTTCTAACCCAGAGAGAAAGAGGACAAAAATACTGGTACAGGGACATGAACAGAGGCAGTATTTGAGTGCTGTCCCACCCCCAGGGACACAGAACTGGAATTAACAATATCCCCTTACTTCTTCCAGGCTGGAAGGAAAACATTTTGCTTCTTTGAGAGGCTGGGATGACAAGGATTGGGACAATAACAAAACAAAAAAAAGTTAATTGAATTAATTTTTTCTGAAAACAATTTCTTCCTCCTTCAAGGATCAAGGTCCAAGCAGTAGTAGACAAAACAGACAAATGCGGTATTAGTAGGAAACGGTGGTGAACAAATTTAGCAGGTCTACTCCAGCCTGAGGGTCTGGAAACCATAATAAAAAATCAGATTGAGATGCAGAATCTGCATTCAGCAGGGAAATCCAAGAAAAGGCAGAGGAGAAGGAATGCAACCCATAGGCAAGTAAGTACCCTGACTATGACCAGCATACTCTGGGGTAATGGTGAAAATACTTAAAAGGATTAATTTTGTTGTCTAGACTAGAAAAAAACCTAACAAGAGACAGCTTGAGAAAACAGGACCCACTGACACCAGCTTTCTGACAGTGTTTAGGAGGCCATCAAGGCACATTTCAGTAGTGCCAGTTCCCTCAGGAGCTGAGCTCAGTGTAGTTTTTACCAGGTTAACCCTGAGCAGAACTTTAAACTAATTTTTCCCCTACTGGACAGGTAACACGGAGCAGAAGTTTACAGCAAATACTTCTAGATTTCTCTGCAACTCCTCTGTAAATCCAGACCACATCACTCAGCCCTTGGGTCCTTGGAGGAGGTGCAGCTTTAGGAGCTGCTGTGGTGGAATTGCAGCATGTGTAAATGTTTCAGAACCACAGAGCCACACAAACTGTGGGACACAGACCTGGAGACTGCCTGCCTCTGCTGCATCCATATCAGAAAGATTGTTCCAAGCTCTCACAGGAAACACTTTTTCCTCTTATCTCCTGCAGCAACAAAAGCTTCAGCTCTATTTGACTCAAACCAATGAGTCACCCTTTGGATGCATCTCATTACCTGGAGGATCTTTAATACCAGAGATTAGTCTCAAGGTAGGAAAAGGCAGATGGAATTATCATAAACTTAATTTGTGCTTGCTTTGTGTATAAAGAGCAGAGCTCCACTGACTTAGAGATTTGTCAGTTTTTACTCAGAATGAATTCAGCTCAGATGAACATACCTGGCTCTGCTGCACACTGTGCACTACTCCCTGTTGTAAAGGGAGTGCACGGTGACACCAGCTTTAAACAGGCCATACCAAACAAAAGCCATGAGTTTAGTGACACCCCAAAAACCCTTCCAGCACATAAGCTATTTTAAAAAGGCTAAGCTTGTAAATCAGCTAAGCCAGAGTGATGGTGCAAAACCTGAGGGAGCAGAAACTGGTTGTTCTCTCCAGCAGAATAATCATGAGGTGGAGGGAAAACAGAGACATCTGGAAAACCACGGGGGTGCCTTATTCAGCAACGCACCAGTACATGCATCAGCATCTACCTCAAAGCAGCAAAGCCCTTGAAAGCTGTACAGAAGAGTCAGGTTTGCCAGAGCCAGGCTCAGGCACTGAGCTGGAACCTGCCACTCTGGGGAATGTGGGAAGATGGATGGGATGTAACATTCACCACCTGCACGAACCTAAGAAGAAATCACAGGGCAATCAACAAGTAATAAATTAAGTCCAAATATCTGTGTCACTTTCTGTTATACCCACAATCTCTTATCTTGATGGAAATGGGGCTGGTCTTACCTTTTCAGGGTTAGTACTGGGACTTGAACTCCCTGGGGTTTATTTCCCATCCGTCCATCACAGAAGGGTCATCTTGGATTTTGAAAGCATGAAATAATTCAGTTTCTGATTAGCTTAAAAAGTGACCAAAGGCTGGGATCACAACCACAGGGCACCAAGCGAGGAAACTGTATACAGACATCAACTTTCCCAACAGCCAAGAAGGCTGAGAAGCACCAGAAAGCCCCTGCTATAGCCTCCCTGATGGGCAGATGGAGAAAGAGCAATGTATTGCTTATAGAAGGTCCCCAGGTTCAACACTGGGCATGGGAACATGGCAGGGAGGCAGCACGACAGCTCTCCTGAGCAGGGGACGGGCAAGAGACAGGAGAACAAGGTCCTGAAATGGCAGCACTAAGAGCTGAGCCTCAAAGATCTTCTGTTCCTGCATGAATGGCAGATCAGGGAGAGGGAATTACAGTGGGGAAGGTGGCTCTCACCCTTCCCAGACTCCAGCAAACATTGTCCCTCTCTTGCTCAGGTCAGTGGTTGCCTGAGGACAGGTGCAGACTTGCCAGCCTCTCTGTATGGGAGGTGGTTTGATGCTGGGAGTAACTCAGGGACAGGGGCTGAGCAGCAGCAAAGAGAACACAGAAGCATGATCATCCTGCAGGACTGCATCTGGGGCAGCCCTGGCCCAACCACAACTATCTACAAACAACAGGGAAGGTGCCTGTTCTCTAGGGAATGGGATTAATTCTTACCTGAGATATGCCAAGAAGCATTGCCACACAAATATCCCAGAAATGTTAATAACCAATACATCTTTCCACACTCACCTGTTGACAAGTTTGTTAAGCAATTCTAGCCCACTCCCACCCCCAAATAACTCCTTGGTAACTCACCAACTCCCCATTACCTGTAGGGTGTTGTCCAGGTCTCCCTCAGCCTTCAGTTGGCACAATCCTGGCCATGCTACAGGAGCACTCCATGCTGTACACAGTCCCTAGCTCTATCCTCTGAGAACCCAGCAGCTGGTTTGCTAATGCTGAGAGACATGGACTGGGGTGGCTGGCAAGCCCTTTGCTTCCTGTCCAAAAGGTGGACAAAACTTATGCTACAACATTTCTGGTGAAAAAAGTAATTGGGAAAATTGTCATCACATAAGTCAGATATTCCTCCATCCCAGTAAACTAAGACATTGCAAAATGGAGATTCTCTCCCATGATAGCTGTTAACATACAAAGGCTGAAAACAGCCCCTACATTTTGCTGCCTGCTCTGCATTCCAAATGCCACATGTTCTCATATCCCAGTAACACAAGAGGGTGAGACAGCAGCAGGGGAGCAGTAAGAGTAACCACCAACATTCCTCTCCTTTTTTTTTTCAAAGATAGGCAGTTATACTAAAAATAAAAACTTCTACTATAATATGATCCTTGGGCTTTCACTCTTATTTAATTGAAGCTCAAAACACTTAAAGGTAACCATTTTTAAAGCCCCTTGCTTTTGTAGGGCTCACATTTCCTGCTAAATCAACAGTAATATCCACCCACACCCAGCACAGCCTCACCTGGGCCTCTCTTGTTCAGCTTTCTCACTTCTGGTGAACTTGACAGGGGCCCACTTGGAATGCAACTCACTAAATTTGCTCACAAAAAACTCTCCTACCAAAATATACCTGTTTCCAACCCACCTGTTCCTGCAAAAGCTTCAGCAGAGCTCCAGGCTGAGGGCACCTGGTTCAGCACAGAGGGGTCTGCACAGCACAGAGCTCACCAGCACCGCAGCAGCACAAGCGCCACACGAGACAACGGGATGGGCTGATGGCAGCGTGTCACACGGGTGAGTGGGGCATCAGACACATTTTCAACACTTAACATGCATCTAAAACCCCCTAAAGTTTCTCAGCTGTAAGTACATTAAGCAATAAATCAAAGTTTTCTTCTCCATTTCCTCTTCTGCTATAAAATTCCATATTCGTGTGCCTGCTGCAGAGCTATGACTTCTTTTTCTGCATAGCCTATTACCTAATTAAATTTCTAAATGTAAACCAACTGAAAATAAAATTAATAAAAACATAAAACCACAAGAATCAGTGAAAATTAAAATGTCAAAAACAAATATCAAAACCAAAGAAATTTATTTCCATCAACAAAAATACAGAATACAAAATGACACTGGTCCCATGGGCCCTCTGAACGTACTAAAGACAGGCACAGGCTGCTGCAACCCCAGCCAAAGCTGCTCTGCTAATTCATAAGGATCTCCATTTGCACCAGTCTTGCATTCGTGTCTCCTGATGTTCTGTATGGGATCATCCCAGCAAACATTATCAGTGCCCGAGCTTGAGACTGAAGTTGCTAAAAAAGAGAAAAACAAAGTACAGTTACTTTAGTATAACAAAGGACAATGATACAATACTCTTCAAACAAACACATGTAATCTTTTTATCTCAGAGCTGCTCTCTGGAAAGGAAACTCTGCATTTTGAAGAAAATCCAATTATTCCCTTTTCCAACCATTAAAAGCATGTCAAGTTACCCTTTTGCTTAAAAAATAATCCCATCTTATTTGAAAATACCTAGGAAAAACATTTTCAGCAATATGGGGCATTGCTGCACTGCAGCAATCTTGTAATTTCTGCATGAAGTGGGATTTCCTAGGGCAACAGGATTCCTTCCCACCTTGCAAAACATAAAGTTGATTCTGTTGAAATGTAGCATTAATGTTCTCAAAGCAGAAGCACTAGAAATGAATGGGAGGTGCCACACACACCTGGAGATCTCCAACATCACCCTGCAACATGCCAATCTCCTCAAAGGCTCTTCCTGCCAATAATACAATGAAAACAGAGGCACCAAGCCCACTCAGACCTTTACCCAAAGCAACCAAACCCCTTCTTGCACACCAGAAGACTACAGAACAGCTGAAGGAATTCAGGAACAATTTGTTTCATTTGTTAAAACTGTTATCATAGTAAAAGGAAAGTAATTCCAATAACTGGTAGGAGACAAGAGAATAGAAAAAAACCCTATCTTTGTAGAAAACTGTTCAGACTGCTCTGACTGCTAAAAGGTGTTTTTTCTTAAATATTAAGCATCTCAAAATCACTGTATTGTACAGAGGATCCAACTGTTCAAATCCTGCTTTCACCTCCTGACTGCAGGGAAAGCCAAAGGTTTTCAGGTTGCTGTTGATGTATGGATGGTAAATCTGATAGCAGGAATTTACAAGCTGAGAAGTGACCAAAACCCATTCCACGGTTGGGAACTGTTATAAACACCTCTTTGGCCAATTCCAACCCTTTTTCAGGGTGATGTTAAACCAGCCTGTTATTCAACAGCCACAGAGAAACTCTGGAGGCTAATAATGGAAAAGCTGTGAGAGTTTTCCCTAGACTGACCTAATTGCTAACACCTCCCAGGACAGTTTCCCTCCCAAGCTGTCAGTTACCACCAGTGGGCTGGCAACTAGACAAGGTGGCCTGGAAATCACTCATTCTGCTCCAGTCACAGTCTCCCAGCCTTACTCCCAAATGTGTTAGACAGTGAGGCCGTGTAATTATGTCTGAGCTGCTGCTTTTCAGTGGAGGTGATAGATGAAAAAAAAAAGCATGTCAAGGTGTCTGGAGTTCAAGTATTAAGAGGCAAAAACTCTCATGACTAAGAAGGGTCGAGGAAGGGTGTGAGTTACTGTTCTCTTTACCTTTACAGTAGCAATGATACCAGAGCTGGTCTATTTTCAAAAATCAAAACAATACTTTGGGAAGAACAAACAGAGGTTTGCAGAGGTTAAGAGTGGCCTGGAGGTCTAGATGTTCTATTGGCTGTAATTACTTAATGAATGTTACAGTTACTTGCAATTTTAAACAAGACCACAGATAATTAAAAAAAATTAATTCCATTCCATTCATGACCTAATTTTGCCAAGATAATGCCCTTGGGCTGCTCCAGAGAGTTCACCACCCCTGACTGGGGTGAGTAGCCTATGACATTGCTGTCATGCACACACAGCATCTGGGCCAGGGCTGTCACTGCAGCCATGGTTTCCAGGACTGCAGGCTGGGCTACCTGCAATCTCTGCCTGAAATCTGACAAAATGGATCAGGCCTAGTGGGACAGGACTTTGTTCCCTTATTCCCAAAACTAATTAATTATATACATAAAAGAAAAAAATACCCAAAACATAGCTTGGGTGATTTAATTCTGAAATAAACACAATGCAGAAATGCCAGTGCTGACCCCAGATCTGATCTTTTCTAGTCCAGATCCAAAGTGGATAGATGTTTTGCAGAGAGCATTACTGGGTTCCAGGGGGCTCCAGCAGTACCACTCCCCTCCATCCAGCCTGTGCTGCCAGGCCCATGCTGTTCCTGCTGAAGTCCCACCCACGGCAGCAGAATCCTGCTCAGAGCTGTGCTTGGCACCAGAGGCAGATTCAAGGGCTCAGGTTTCCTCTCTGGGGGATGCTGCTCCCTGCTATGTAGAATAAACCTCAGAGTTACAAACAGCAACTATCTTTTCTTCTGATGAACAGAGGGATCTGAATCTGCCTGTTCTGATGGATCAAAAGAAAAGCCAGGGATTTAAAAAAATCTGTTCAAGGAAAGGTAATGTCACCTTTGTTGTCCACTGGGCAATGTACCAAGACTGTTAAAGCTGCTGAAAGGGTCTGATTTCTCCATAAATTTGCTTCCCCGGAGAATATGGAAAAACTGCCCTTCTCTCAGGGAAGTTCAGGAGACAAATTCTTGTCATGCACAGCCTGCTGAAGCTCATGTCTGCCATCTCTGTCCAGGTGAATGAGATTTTGCTGAAGGAACACCTCATCTCCTCACCTGTAATGCCTTCATTACTTCACACCACTAAAATTGCCTGAGTTGCCTCTCAACTGAAACAATCTAAATTCCCTGCTCCTGCAGTCTCGGAAGAAATTCTTCAGGGTAAGAAAAAAGGATAGCACATGCTAAAGCCATTCTTACCCACCTTCCATGTGCTCATGTCTGCTATTATTTTTGCACATGCAAATCTTTAGGCAGATGGGAGCTACAGGGTGGTAGGAATTTTCTCTTGCTAATCCTACATTTGCAGATATATGCTCCCTTGTGACACTCCAGTCACATAGCTGTTCCATCATCCTCTCCCTGACAGCAGATGAAGTGGACACTTGTCCCCTTTGATGGCAAAGCACAGCTTGTACTGCACATGGCAGCCAAAGATCTGTGACTCAGAAACCATGTGCTCCCAACATCACGGACACCCTACTGCCATGAGATCCCATCACAAGGCCTGGAGCTTGATTAACAAAACTTGAAGCCTGAAATAAAGAAAACTTTGAAGAGCTTTTAGCAAGGTACGACATCAGTTCACCTCCACAACTGTGACAACCCGAGAGTGCAGAGCACATTTATGAAGAAGTGTTCACACTAAACACACTGTGGATATGATACAGTATCCTGGTGGCCTCCTTCCACACAAACCTCTGCCAGCAAAGCTCTAATCCCATCCCCAGTCAGCCCATGGTATTCATCTTGAGCTGGCACCTGACAGCACTCCACCCCTATGGAGATGGTAAATCCTTCTACATGAGGCATAAGACTGAAATCACAAAATCAAAACAGCTCACTTGGAAAGCAAGGAGCTAAGGCACTCCTTTCTCAGTGCCAACCTTGTGAAGACACACAGAAGGTAATAACAGATTGTGTTGGCCTGAGACTTCTCCACACGTGCAGAGTTTAAGGTGGGAGAAGCCCAAGTAGTGTCTACCCATCTCCAGTGCTGCTGACCTGGAGTACAAGCACCCTTGTGAGGCAGGATCCCATAGCTCTTGCAGGCTGTGCCCCAAGATAAAAGCTGTACCATCACCTAAGCCTTTTCATTTTTCTGTGTAATTTAAACATGCTACTAAAACTTTTACCAATATTACAATTTACAGATCAAAGGCCTTTATGTAGCTGACTAAAGCTTGGAATTAAGCTGGCTATGGCCCAAGCTCGTTTTTCACTCTCAAAAGGAGTTGATATCTATTTTCTAATCTGTTAAGACAGGATGAATGGTTTGGCCTTGGTTTCAAGCGCCTGCAGCAGCTTTAACTTAAGAGTTAAAAGACCAAAACTGGCTGGAATTAAGCTGTGAACCCTTCTGCTAAGCCCCACATGTTGGCAGGTGAGTGCTCACAAATCTGGCTGTGCCATTTAAATGCTGCCTATTCTGCAGCCTGCTGGAGGTGGAGACTCCCATCAGTGGCTCGGGGAAATGCCTCTGCACCAGCTCAAGCAGTGAAGTCAAACCCACTGTGGTCATGCATTTCAACAGCAGCCAGACTGCTGCAAGCTGCAACAGCAGCCAGACCAAGCTGCAAGCTGCCCACTCCCTGCAGGGGCAGCAGAACAATGCTGGTGCTCACCAAGGGGATGTGCTCCAGCATCTTGGTGTTTCACCCCAGAGCAAGGAAAATGTTGGCCTGCATCACTACAGAAGCAAGCTGAGGGGAAGAGTCAAGGAAGGCCCTTCTACCAGAAATGGGCACTTACTCACATGAAAGGAGTGGCAATCAGGTGCTTAAAAAGCAACAGCTCAGTTGTCAAAGCAGCAACATCAACCATTCCAGAGAATGCACTGTTCCCATTTGCTTTACTATCTAAGATTCCCCTAAGAAGGAAAGTGGACACTTGTTTTCTCTTGCTAGGAGGTAAATATAGATGTAGTATCTCCATTAGTTCAATGTAATTTAAAGCAATATCTTAGACTCAGAATGGTTTAGGCTGAAAGGGACCTCAATGATCACCCAGTTCCAACCTTTCTTTACACAAAGCTGAAGGCATCAGAGACCAGCCTTGAGACTAAGTAACTGGACAAGTTCAGTAGACCAAGACTCTAAGTAACTGAACAAATCAAAACCAAGACCATTAGAGATTGTCAGTTACTTGAAGCCAAATATCTTGAAACCAGCAGAATAGGATATAGGAAAACCTGTCAAACAGTAAGAATTATATTCTTACCGAATCTCTGTCTTCCATTACCCGCTGGGGCCTGGCAGGAGTGGTTGGGCTTGTGCCTTTCATCCTCTTATACTTGGTGAATAAAATATTCATGGTTGCAAGCAGGACCTCAGATAAATTGTGTTTGATCTACAAAAAAAAGGGGGGGAAAAAAAAGACATTGCAGCATAAGCAGATTGACCATAACCATTACTATACAGATTTCTGTAACAGTCATAGGTGTAATGGTTACCCCTACTATGACTGCACCACCCAGCAGAAACACTACCCAGAGCTTTGAGACAGACATGCCCAATGGCTGCACCTTCACGTTTGATAGCAGCAGACCAGATAAAACCCAAAGCACCCAAATACACACAACTACTGCCTAAAAAAGAAGTGTCGCTCCAGTTAAAACAGTTCAATAGCAGTACCAGTTTTCCACTATGCTTCATTTGCTAATACAAAAATCCATTAATTCCTGTAATTTAGAGGGAAAGAAACAAACAACCTACAAATGCTTAGTGACCATTAAGAGCACAGAAGAACTAAGTCACCAGCAAGTCAAAAGTTTTTAGTATTCTGAATTCTTGAATGAAACTCAGTAAGTTCAGGAAGACTCACATCTGCAGATACTTTCTTCAAAATGGAGACAGGATTTCTGGGTAGGGAATTCTAGTGCTCAAAAGAGCAGCATTAAGAAGAAAAAGCTGCAAGCCAAGAGTATACTTGTATGAAATAAAAAAAATGTCATCATTTTTCTCTGCTAAAGAATAAGAATGATGAGATTACAAGGTTTTAAGATCCTTTAAACAAAGCAAAAGGCTTTAGGGAGCTAAACCCAAGACATGACTTACTTCATCGCTGAAATTCCGGAAGGCAGCGACCCTCTCCTTGACACAATCTTGGCTAAGAGGTACAAGCTTCAGGCGTTCAATAATCTTCAAAAAGAAAAGCAGGAATCAGGACAGATAATCAGCATTCTATGCACCATATATTAATAAAGTGGGTTTTTAAAGTGTTAATGAAACGCTTCTATTTCCATTCAAGAGAAATAATTTCATTGTCATTTACTGGTTTATCTCCTAACTTTGTTGAGCAACAGGAATATTTTGATCAATGTCTACAAAATAGCTCCAGGAAGATCATCCTATTTATCAAGCAACAGGGAAGAAACACCTTTTAAAATTCCTATAACACTGCAGTCCCTTCTAACTCATTCAATAAAATTTTTGAAGTGATGTTATTTGAGACATTCTGGGTTTTCAAGGGCATTAGGAAGGCTACACTTCAAAAAGAACTCTTAAAACTTACATCAAAGGCCCTGTCAACGTGACCAGCGTGATATTCATCAAAAAACGTGATTAAGTCTAGCAGAAGGTAGAACGTGGAGTCAATGGATTTCTTTGCACTTATCCCCTGCGCTTTGTACCTGAAAGAAATTGTATTGCAATTTTATTGTGCAAAATGGCAACCATTTACAACTGTGCCCTTGCAATTCTTGGAAGTGGAGACATCAAACTCAAGGACAGAGGGCATTTAACAAAGGACAACTTTCATTTTCCTTAACCAGGAGGCAGAAATTTCACAGGTTGTGGCTTTTTAAAAACACTGTTAATCACTTCCAGTTTTGCAAATCCAGCATTTATTTCCTTTAAAATATTTGCATTTCCCACATTCATGGGGAAACAGTGCCAGGCAGCAGAGACCTGCAAGGCAAGCTCTGTACCAGCATGTTTAACATGCTGCTTTACAGCAGACAATCCTCCAGCACAACTGCCTGCTTTAGGCAAAAAGTTAAGACTTAAAAGATGGATTAAGAGTTCCTGCATGCTCTTGGGAGCTACCCTGGCTCTGGGATGAACTGGAGGGCTGCCTGCTCTCACTCCTAACTGCATGAGGGCACAAAGAAGTTGTTGCCATAAGAATGGTCTTGCAGATGAGGAAACCATGTAGGCTCTTGGCCTTTTTCTAAGGTGTCTCCCCTGCTCCAAAAGCATAACAAGAATACACAGGAGGAATGCTGCATCCCTACAGCACTGTCATCAGGACAGTACACATGGAAAGGCCCTGTCTTTCATCTAATTGGCAAGAAGAAGTGTTAGTCAGAACTACTCTGGCTTTGCAATCAGGTTTGCAGCTGTGAAGTGGCATAATTGTACAGTAATATTTTAGTGCTTTCAGACAGATCAAAGTATGTAGCAAAGCAAAAAAAATTCCCATTACAGCCTTTGCTGAAGCTTTAACTCAAGCCATAGATTTAATTATCTTTAATGTCTGCCACCAAATCAGTCTCTCACCAAGTCAATACGGCACCGATTTTGCACATGATCCCAGCCTGCCCAAATGAAGGAAAGGCTGACTAGAAGGAGTGACTGGCAAATGCCACTTGTCAAAAGAAGAAAGGAAAAGGCCTCTGATGGAAATCAATACATTTCTGTATTTGTCTTCCCAATTTCAAAGTGCCAGCAAGTGGGCTTGGTTTATTTTTATTCTCTCTGCAGCTCAATGTTGATAAAAACCAGTAAGGCATTTCTCATAGGAATCCACAGTTTGTTCTAGTAAAATACAACAATTGTTCCTGGCAGTCACTGTGACAAGATGCACCAAAAGGTGACTATTTAAGAAATTAATGGACATATTTTGCAACTACAGCTTTTCAGAATCAGGTAAATCCTAACTTCCCGGTGTTAATGAACCTTCAGCACTGATGTCTCTCAAGCCCATACCCTAATTAGTATACACACATGGCAGGGCACATTCCTTTCAGTTGCTTACTTTCTTTCTGGACACCACAGAGTACTTGGCGTTAACATAACTGTCTGTGGAAATGAAGTCCACTGCTTGCATTAGCCATACACAGTTCATCTTAAATACTCCCTTTTTAGCCTTCATTAAAGCAACAGTTTTCAGAAAGCTACTGAACAGTTGTTACAATTCAGAATTACTGGGTTTGTAGCTCTCTCTTAATACTATTTCAAAAAAGTGAATTGCATGCAATGACTCAGCAACTATTACAATATTTTGCTTTAAAAATAATATAAAACATACAATTAATGTATTTATTGTTCCTTAACAGACTCCATCTCTAGCTGGCAATCCTGATTCACCTACAGATAAAACTTCTTGCCAAATTTACCTGACCCTGAAGATTTCTGGTTTCAGTACTGCAAGCCATCACGAACAGGACAGTGTAAATTCTGACCCCTTCGTTGTCTTTCTAAATATACTGCTGTGGATGCCACAGTCCAGCCTGCAGAAACAACATCAGGAACTAACATCCACAGCTCTGACAGTGGCAGGTCATGCTGAGGTGAATCACCCAGTCCTGCCCTTACCTGAGTCTTACCTCTCAGCAATGGAATGGGCCATGTTCTTCAAACGCTCCTTGTTTGACTGGGGAGTGCTGATCTGGGGAACAACTGGACTAAGGAGCTTGTTCATCAGTTCTAAAACTTTGTCAGGGTTCTGTTGGCATTAAAGTTACACAAATAAAATGAAACATGGTGTCTTACTCTCATTGAAAAAGCAGAGAAGTTTCATGCAGTGGTGTCTACTGAAAGCCCAGAGCCACCTCCCTCCCATAATGAGTCAGGATCTTATTAGCTACAAACAACATAATGCTGCTGGGTCACAAGAAAAAGCATTTCCTCCTAGTTTTTCTCTAAAACAGTGGTTATGGTTGTATCCACCTCTATTTCCAAAGGAAACAAGAGTACTCAGTATAAAGACCAACTATTTTAGACTTCAGTTCAATATCTATGAAATTGGAAGAGTACACTCCAGGTAAATAACTGCACTAGACTGAATTAAATCATGCGTGGGGCACTCTCTTCAAAATAGCACATTGATAAGGACCACAATGTCCTAAATCAGAATCCCTGGAGTGCAATCCATCTGGATGTGCTAACTAAAACATCTCTTCATGCAGCCTTATGGCTCTGTTGTTCCAGCAGTAGAAATAAACTGCTTGAATAAGGGCAATTCAATCTCCAAGATGAAATTTAACCTCCTAAACACAGGTAGAATGTTTGGAAAGAAAAAAGGTGAACCAAGTATATAAGGCAGCACACAAGACATATACCTTTGCAAGGTCATAGAGTTTTGCAGCTTCTTCAAACAATCCTTTATTTTCTGCTGCAGAAGCCACTTTGTTAATAATGGATTTTGTGTCACTTGTAAACTTGTCTATCACTCCAGGCTAAAGAGGTGAGACAAAAATGAAAAGAGAAAACAGGAATCAGAAGGCTCAAACACTCCAGAATATTCTGTCAAGGCAATGAATATTTTACATGTTGGCTAATGATTGGAATGGCCTGTACATTTCCATGGGAATGTGCAAAAGTGAGATATTAAAAATAGAATGAGTTCTTGCAAGAGGGACTCTCTCCTAAATGGAGTCAGCACTGAGACATTCTTGGTTTCCAATTCACTCAAAATGACCCAGATAAAATAAATCAGAGTTTGAGCTATTAACTGCTGATGACACAGAGAAGAAAACACAAAAGACTTCAGCACATAGCATTCCAAGGGCTCCAGGGATGGAGTTTGTTTATACTGTCATGACAGCTTGCCAAGGAAATCTCACACAGATAAATGAAAGGGCAACAAGAATTTAAAAACAAATATTAAACATGTAGAATAAAAGAGATGAAAGAGTCAAGAATATCTGGACATTACTGTAGTTGAGGATGCAAAAATGAGACTATATCATCCAGAAGAATTTATTTTAAGCTTAAAATTGTTGGTTTCACACCAAAGAAAGTGCAAAACAACAAAGTTATTTGTAAAGATTATCAAGCTACCTTGTTCTCTTGTATGCAATCTCACTGCTTTTGAAATGAGAAAATAAAGACATCTAAAAGAAATTCCTGCCAGAAATAACTTTCCCCCTCTATTTTTGACAGCAATATAAGCCCTAATCTTAAAATTGAGATGCAAACGGTTCCGCAGTCTGCTTTACACAGAAATCTTCCAAAGCTGTCACATCAAACAGAAAACTTCTTTGATTATCTAAAATTTTCATAATTTGCATGCACTCTCCTGTTTGCAGGTAAAACCTTAAGGTTTCCTTTATCTTCTGTGTAATCTTCTACTTAACTATTATGAAACTGCTTTTACACTGGAAGCAACATCGGTCATCTAAAAACAGCTGAACTTTTATCCAGTACTTGCTCTCACCTGTGTGAAGGTCAGATCAGCTATGCCTATGCTTGTGGTCTGTAAGCCCTTGCTCCTTTAATTACAAGGATTTTTCAAGGACTGCAATACATTTCTTCTGTGAGGTGAATGAGGATGTCATAAATAATTTTCACATGTACACCTCGGTTAACAGAGCATTCTCACACACCCACTTAAACTAAACTCTATTTCCTCCTGGGAAGACAAAATTCTGAACTCACTAGAGTTACCTGATGCCATTTGCTTCCTCAGTTACAGCAGCTGTTTAGAGGAACACTGTTTGCCCTGAAGTTCCTGACCTGCCTTTTGTTAGGGCAGGTCACGGATTATTCTGTAAAAGGATCTCCAAGTGGGAGAACTTGAATGTATTCAAACACAGTAATAATTTAGCTAGTGGAAAACAGAGAGAAGCAAAATAGCCTCATGACTACTTTGGAAATCATATATAGGTTGTACTTTTAATATAAAATATAAATTGTGAACTCACCTTCCTACTACCATCCTTTTCCAGCTTTCCAAGAATCATATCAAACTATATCCACGTGGATTTAAAGTTAGAAAAAACAGGAAACAAAAATACAGAGATGAATTGCACGTATTTCATAACATATTTGTTAAATACAAAGACACAGTCATGGAATGAAAAACAGTGACCAATATAAAAAGTATTTGTAACTAAATAACAGGCAAAAAGATATGATTAAATGTCATAAACATAAGGCCATTGCAAGATCTCTCATCTGGGTCTGCATCAGGCAGAAAGAGTAAGCAACTCTAAGACTGTCCTGACTAACAAAGATTTTAAAGAAGAAATTACTTTCAGCTTAATTGAGGAAGACAAAACATGGCCAAACGCACCTCTCTGCTTTCAATCACTATTTCACTAACGCAACGCAAGAACATATTCTCTCCTTGGCTGTCCTTCTCATTCCTATAAAATAAAGAGAGAGAAAGGTACTCCTGTTTCTGAGAACTTTCCAGATAAGACTAATGAAGCAATAATAACTAGGAGAATATCTAAAGATGTATATTAGCTCCTACCTGAGAAAGTAAAAGTACTGCAGAGCTTCCCGTGGATCTGTTGATTCAAACTTACGAGTGTAAAGCATCAAAAGCCGCACAAAATTTAAACGTCTGACACCAGGAGGGTCACCAGCTTCATGGCTTACTGCAAGGTCAGAAACAGCACTGTCAGAGAATCTAATGCCAGGAAAATGCTGATCTTCATCTCAAATTAGTCAGAACCATGATCCAGAGTGCTAATGCAACTAAAACAATTAATTTTATAAGATTGTTCTGATAAATCTTTGATTAATCACACAGACCTGACGCTTCTAGAGGGTACTCTGAGGGCTAAGAAAATATTACTTTACTATAAAGTAAATAGGACTCACATAGTTGTGCACTCTGCCCAGATGCTTTCAGGAGCAATTTTAACTCAAACAGGACCAAAGCAACATGAACAGCGTGACAGCGCAAGCGCTCTGTCCGGAAAAGAAAAGCAATTGCAGCTTCAAACTGTGCTGTCAAAAACAACACTTGGAAGTAGAGGAATGGTGGCTGGTTCACTGCAAAGTGTGATTCACCTGAAAAAAACCACAACACATAGCATTTTCACATAATTTTCATGATTTTGCAATCAGAGATGACTGACAGTAGATGCTTCCTGTCACACTGCATCATTATTGTTAATTAGGTGCCAGCCAAAATAAACACAGTACACAAAACTGAATAACCACACATCAGTGGCTCACCTACAACTGTGCCACTGCAGATTTATCATGAAGGACCACAGCATAAAGACATATTCAAGAAGTGAAGCAGAATAAACAGTTCCTCAGAAAAGTTCCTTTGTTCTTTTCAGACAACAAATTATGAACTCTGATCAACTGTGATAGATTCTCTAAAGACCACAACTTTTTGTCTTCATTTATACTTATGCCAAGTGGTACAAATAATGTTAAAAAACTGGATCTTCCTACTCAGTGACACCAACAGTAGCCTATTATATTTCTTTTCCACACATTTTTATCTGAGTGTGTGATACTACAAACTAGAAGGCTGTGGAGAATCAAATTTGGTATGTTTTGGACAATTCCAAGAGACTTAATTTTGACTGACTGGAAAACAATTACAGGAAAATGTATTCTGTGGATGTTCTTAAAACCTTCTGAAATAGAAGGAATTGTGACTTGGGTCCCCAGAAATTTGCTTGAAATGCTAATTTAAGGGAAAAGAAAAACACCAGATGCACACAGAGGAAAAGCTTGGAAATACATGCCTACATTAGGTATTGACTGCTTTTCTGTTCTGTATTTCCAAAGCTGGAAGTTCTGCTAAAGAACTTTTGCCTATTTATGGTGAGAGAAAACAGCCCATAATAAATGGATAAAGGAGAAACAGCAGCAGTGCTGTTCACAGATGAGTATTAAATCTCTGGATTGCTGGGAAAAACATGGGACTCACTCATTATGTCTTAATGAAGTCTGCCACAACTCCAGGGAGCAGGCTGTTCATGGACAGAAGATGCCTGTCACTAGTGGAGAGCTGCAGGGTTTTTGTGTAGTCTGGGGTTTGTTTAATAACAACTGGAAAGTGTCCTCAGCAGAAAAGCAGAGCCCCAGGTAAGACATCACTCTGGTTTCTCACCATAGTCTTCCAGCAGCTGCTTCTGGAACTGGGATAACGTTAGCCGGTCCTGCGGGGAGCTCGCACCACCATCATCAAAACACACTTGGTTCAGCTAAAAAGCACATCCAAAAAAGAGAAGTACAGATATTTCTCCTTGCACAAGCAATGCACTTAGAAGATAATCAATCCATCTGAGCCCTCCCTAGGATTTGACCAACTGACTAGAAACTGCATCTAGTCACAGCATCAGCTCCATCCACTGCTGGAAAGCAAAGATCTCTAAGGCAGCAACAGCTGAAATCCATGCAGATATAACCCTGGGGATCCATATCCATCCAGGCCAGCAAACTCTGATGCTGGGACTCTGAACACTCTCAAGCAGCATTTTTTTGCCACAAATAGAATAGTAACAAATACATCATTCTACCACCCTTTTTCTGACAAAGAGGAGAAACAGGTACCAACCAGTATCTATCATGCCCTTGCCAAAACTGTAAGGACTTCAGCAACATTGACAGTGTTGTGTATGGTCAATCCACATTGACATTTCAGACATCCATCCAGGAAGGAGAATTCAAAGAATCCTCACTGTAGCAAGGTAATACTACTCGTAAAAACAGGTGACGAAGATTAGTGTCAAATGAAGAACATGACAGTTGCAAAGACAACTGTACCCAAACTAACACCTGATAGCACAGAGGGTAACAGAACAGCCCTGGGATTCAGGTTGCCAGCCCTGCATTATTTTCAAGGTCAGGTCACATGCACTACATTGATGCAAAACACCAGATCTAGAAGCAGGAAGGGTAGCAGAGCAGTGGAGAAATTTGGTACCATTTAGACCTGTTCTTACAAAAAGAATAACCAAACACCACAATCTCAACACCAGACTTACTTTTAGCCAAAGATAATCTTCTGTTTTATCAGCAACTTCACTCTGGTTGTCTGTAATGTCACAACGGCCAATAATACAATAAACAGCCCTTTTGTAGGGGTCAGTGTTATTTCTCAGAGCTCGTCTGTAATGAAGACGCAGTTTATTTTCTGTGGCAGGAGACAGTCTAAGGAAAAGAAATGATTGAAGGAAAACACATGAAACCTATTTTCCCTGTATGAGGAAACCTGGATACAAATCAGTGTAAATAGGTGCATATCCACAGCAAAGGCATAATGACAGTAAGCACTGGCAATATTTCTTGCACTTCCAGTTCATATTTGTAGGTAAAAATTTTGCACACGTGAATTTAAACACATAATTAAAGTTACGGAGGATCATCTTCAAATGCTCACTGCAGAGAAAGAATCTACATATGACAGTCTCTTTAGGAGTACAATAAGACTGTGGCAGATTAGCTATTTTTGTCTGACTCTGCTACTGCATCATTTCAGAAAAAGAGAGCTCACAATATCTTTGTAAGTCTTTGTGTTAGGAACTAACAAGTGAGTAGGTCACGGTACCATGAGGTCCTTCAGGAGAGACACTTTCATCATTATCAAACACTGTTATAATGTTCTTTGTCATTGTTTTTTTCTTGCAACCTCTTGTTGAGAATTTCACAGAGTTTAATCAATAACGTATTCTAGACTAAGGCATTGTTTGTCAAATCTGTAGGCAGAGCACTTTTTCATAGCTGGAGTAAAAACAAAATAAATCTATTGTGTTGTATCTCATAAAGGTGTTTGTAATGAAAACAGTGACAGTATCTTCATCAAGGTTTCTGCAACAACCTTGATATAATGAGCTCTCCTACATACTCTCTACAAAACAGGTTGATTTATAGAAGAATACCATGGTGTACCATACTCTGTAAATGGCACTTGGATTTTTATCCTTTCCATTTATTTTGTTAGCTTCGTTAGTTATTTTTAATTGGTCTGTTTGTTGGTTTTTTGATTATTTTTTTGTTTTTGTTTTTTTTTTTTGAAATTCACTGCAAATGGAAAAGATGGAAAAGAAAACCACTGTGGAGTTTGGAGCACACCTTAGGGTGCACTAGCTTAACCACTTTGCAACCACATCAGCAGCAGTTTGGCCAAAGGCTTTTATCTAGTGATGGACAGCAAAAACTGGAAGAGAAGAATAAACACAAGAAAGATATGAGAGTGAGGCCTATAAAGGCCTCTAACAAACACTGCTTGCTTTTCCTGTGTAGCATTCTTATGAAAACAGGTGTAGTAAAAAGTGCTCCCCAAAGGAAATTCAGCTAAAATAAGCAATGGGAAATAAAAAAATACAGGATTCATGACAGAAGATTAAATCTGATCTTCTGTATACCATATACCACTGTTACACTGGGTTTATCCTTCGGTAAAATAGTAAAGCTACACCACATTGTATTATTTTTGAAATGTAAATTTTTTAATATCTTCAAACAGCTCTTTCTCTGTTGAGATTTCTCAACTTCAAAGCCACGAATTAGAATATGCAAACTTCTACATGTAATTTAGGTAGGTAATATAAACCTCAGGCAACCATCACCACCAGAAGAGACTTGAGCTTTTTGTATTTCTACCAAACCACTGATAATTTCACTACTCCACAGCAATTCCCACCCCTCACAAAGATCCTTCTTAGCTCCCAATTACCTTCTGTCTTTACTGTGCATGTACTCCTGGAACCAGGTTTTGAACTCTCCCAGCTGGTGCTGTGCCCGTTTCACCACGTGCATGGCTGCAGTCAGATCTCCACAGCGCATGCAGTAGTAAATCAGTGCCCACACAGGATGGCCCTCCACCTCACCATCCTGAAAAGAAAGTAGGACATACTTAATTTTTTTCTCAAAAGCAATATATGTGAATGATTTTTCTTTATCCTCGGCCTCATCCATTATTTCTGCCCTTATACCCACACTCATATTGGTGAAAAATTCTGTTTGTTACTGAAGCCAGAGGTCATGAGGGTTAAAATGTGGCAAAGCTCTGCACATCTCAGCAGTGAAAGGTGTGATTCTCTTCTGCTTGCACAGATTTCAGTTCTGAGAATCCCAATATTTAGCATATGATATCCTCTCCACAAAGGAGATTGATCTGGATTAGGCCACGGAGGTATTAAAAACATTTTCACTGAAACAGAAAGACATCAAACTAATCACTGATCTCAGCAGGTAAGAAGAGACAGCCAGACTTAGCTGTGTGCACCCCAATGTTATAATTATTTCTTCATTTAACTTTTATATCTGATTTTTCAACCCGGACTGCCTATCTGATTATTTTGTACATGCACAGCTATGCACTTTTTACTACATGCAGGTAAGGGGTTTTATTCAGATGCCTAAATAAAAAGCCCAGGCTGCAATTCAGATGAAATCATTACACATTTGGTGATGGTTTCACCATCTTACAATAAAAGTAAAAAAAGAGAAAAAGCAAAACAGGGAGATTAAGTTACTGCTTTTTTTGAACCATCATAATGCATTTTAATTCTTGCTTGTTGATTTAAGATGACAACCAGAAGACCACATAATTTCTAGAATTAGAACTCAAGCTTCTGAGCACCCACCATGCTTTGGGACTAGGTCTGAACTCAAGAGTGATTTTGCCTGCCATCTCCCATTTTCCCAGTCAAAAATTCTAGAGAAGGAGTAAGAGCCTGATGCCCTAAAAACAGCTTAAACAATAGAAAAGCCACCTGAGGCTGCCCTGGTTTCCCCTCTGCCATGGGTGAACAGGTTTGTGCTATTTTAGCCCAGTGGCTGACAGTGCTGCCCATACCTGCAGACCAGGGACAGACGCCGGGAGTTTGATGTTCAGGAAGCTTCGGACCAGCTGGTAGGTGCCTGGGACTCCACCCAGCTGAGCCTGGTGCAAGTTTCCAAAGACTGTCACAAAAGTGTAATTTTTGTAACTGAAACATAACACAAGCAAAACAAACATGAACAGACTGAGACACACCTGCCACAAAAACATCCACTGCCTTTCTGACCTGACAGAACTAACAATTTAAAGCAAATTAACTCGATGTTCAGACATTATCATTACAACAAAAAGAGGCACAAATTTTGGTCAGTTTAGGAAGATCTTTGTATTTAGCAGTCTCACAAGACACCAGGTTTGGAGTCTGTGGTGGACTGCTCCAGGTCCAAATCTCAATTAGCACTTAGTAGAACAAAGTTAAGCTCAAATATATTAACTGGCAAAAAGCCTTTCACCCTAATACTTTAACTCTCAATCATGAAAGAATAGTTAAATACCACAGATGTGTTTGTCTCTCCTCCCTGCTCTATAGAAAAATATCAACCTTAGGGCTACAGACTTACCAGAAGAAAATCCCAGAGAAAAAGGGAATTTAGAGAAATATAACTGGTAAAGGCAGCTTTAAGAAAATGTTTTAAAATAACCCATCAAAGAATTTAATCAAGACAGATCAATTTAACAAATACGCATACTTAGAAGCAGGAGTCTCAAAAATTTGTACACTGAAGACCTAAGTAAGCAGCATCAATAAATGACAATAAGTTCGTTTCCTTTCTCTGCAGCACATTAGACTTGTGTGCCATCAGAAATCTGAAAGACTACATAAGCAGGTATCAGAGTATCTTGATAATGAGAATTATGGCTGAGGCAAGTGCATGTTCCTCAGGGCTTAAGATCACAGTTGTTCCAAAGGAACAATGTGTAAACAGCTGTGAGTGGCATTACATCTCTTCCATATATGAGTGAGGGGCTGGTGAGGCATGGAAACACTCTAGTATTAGCCAATTCCCACCAGTGAAGAAAAGCTATGAAGCAAGGCAAAGAGTTTGGGCAAGGTTTTAATTACCAAAAAACCCAACAAAAACCAAGCCTGAGAGGCCTAATCTCCACAACTGGGAGCATTGGGAAAGTAATACATATAACTAACTCCTAACTTCAGATAGCAGTTAATGGCACTGTGAACATTTAGCAAGTTGGACATGTGGCAAATCAGGTTAAGAGTCACTGGCTCATTGCACTCTGCTGAGACTGAGGAACTGGGAACAGAAGATCCTTTTGATGCGTCAGCTCCTCTGTGCACAGGCGGCAGCTGCCACCACTCTTGGGTGACACTGAGAGCTGATGGGGTGTGACAACCAACTGCCAGGGCCAAGAAGAGGCTGTACCAGGAGGTGAAAGCACCTCTTCCCACAGTGCTGTGTCAGAGTGCAGTGCTTTCCATGCTCTGATGCAATCTGTGTCCCTAACAAATGCCCACATACTACTCTGCAGTTACTGCTTGCATAGGCTGGAAGAGGCTGCTGGCATCACATTGCAGCTACCAGAAAAGAGAGACTGCAATATCCATCCACATGTGCAGTGGATGGGCATTTGGCTTTGGGCAGCTTCACAACCTGCAGTTCTCCAAGAACTCCATCGGTCAAGGAGCTTAGGCCCCCATGGTACTTGCTAATAAACACAGCAAACCACTTTCTACAGTCTGAAAATCACTGCTACATGTCTCAATTTCAGCTTCTTCACATTTTCCAAAAACTTCTCAGTGTAGAAATGGCATTATCAGAACTTGACTCATTGCACCAGGTTTGTTCCCATGCTGCCCTCATGGGCTGCTGACAGCAACCAGCAATCAGAAAGGGGGCATATAGAAAAGAGGATGTTCTTTTGCAGAAGAGAAACAGATCACTCTCCTCAAGTGAAAAACCTTCACATATCACTGTACATATATGGAATATTTATAAGCGACACAGAAGAAAGAAGTCTTTGCATCTTCTAAACAACCTCCCCACAGATTCAAGGCCTTTTAAACTAGAACACTGTTAAACTAGAACAATTTTTTATTTAAGTGGCTGCTCTAAGCCCTGCACAATAAAAAAGGCAGGCAAGAGACGTCTCTAAGTGCATCACAAAGTCATTCATTCTGGTTTCTTATTAGGGAGCTCTGTCAATGTGTACTCGGAGCACCCAATCTCACCTCTCCTCCAGGTAGTGCAGAGCGTGCCTCACAAACTCCATGCGCACCTCCATGTTGGTCCGGACTTTCAGGGCATCGCTGGCAGGAACCAGGGTGACATCGGTCATTTGTTTCACCATGGCCCACATCTCAGAGATGTTCTGCAAAAAGTCATCCCATGCCTCAGCAGTTAGTACAAAGATGAACAAGCAACACTGTTTTGAGTTACATCGTGTTTTGATGCTTAAGAAAAGCCTAAGAACACAAGAGTAATTCATGTCAGTTTAGATTTGTAATGCAGATACTGGACACAGTCATGAAGGTAAGCTGCTTCTGTCCCACAGAATTCAAGTTTCACAGGCTTTTTTTGCATAATTTTTGTGCAAGAAGATGGCTATAAATGTTGTACCTGCAGTTGTTCTCAAAAATTGACAACTATTAAAACTAGGCTGGGTGCTTGGTCCTCAGTCTTTTGCTCATTTCTAGTTCACACTTCCCACTCCATATATACCACTGCATCATCAGCTTTCCATGTAAGCAATGGCTCTGGCTGCTGCTGGAAAGCTGTGTGATCAGCTGTGATAAGAAGCATTAAAAGGACACTGATCATTTGGACAAAGGCTCAGTTATAAATAAATGTTGAAAACCATCCAGATCTGTTCATTCACAAGGACAAGATCGTATCAGTGTTTACAGGACTAGGGCATCCCTGCTGAAATGGCAAAATACTGAGAACTAACAGCACTGTTCACTTGGACAAGGACAGCTCTTTGATCTCAGTGCTTCAAAGCAGCAAAAACACTGAAACTCCCCGTGCTGCCCCTTGCAAAACAAACAGAGCTGCTCAGAGTGAAGATGCACATCTGTAATTCAGACCCAATTGAAGGGTTTGCCCCTCAGCTTCTGAGCAGCTTTTTGCTCTTCCCATTTGCAGTTTTTTCATAGCTTGACCCTGCTGCAGTATTCTCCTCCAGGCATTTCTCCAAGGTTTGTGCATTTGTTTTCTTTTTTTAGGGTGAATCAAGGCAACACAATTAAAGGAATAGAAAAAAAGGAAAGTACGCAGATCATTGATTTTAAGTCAATCCTAGGTGTTTTATGCTTTACTATGAGAGCCTATTTAAGCTCCAGCACAGTCTGAGTGAAGACCCTTTTACCCCCAAGTACATAGCGTCAAAGGACATTAAGAGACCACACTTTGTAAATTAACACAACAGAATGTATTTTAAATTAAAAGCAATTTTCCCCTCAACAGCTTATCACTTATGATGGGACACCAGGTTCATTTCTTCCTCACTGTGTTAAGAAATTTTCACCATGACCAACTTCATGGCAGGTGGGCCCTGCTGCACTGGAGAGAATTCCAGTATTGCCTCTGTGTTTTCTGTGGAGCCATGCAATTTTTTTTTTGCAGTATCAGTATTTTCCCCCTGATGTCAGCAGGCTGTTAATCACAGCCTGAAAACAGCTTAAATACATTTCCTTATGTTAACTTATTGGCAGTACCTTATCATCCAGGCCTGCAGTAGCAGCACAGAGGTCCACCAGGTTAGGCTGCAGATGTCCATTCACTATCTTCTCATTATAAATATAAATCTAAAACATAATTAAAGAAAGCATGTTTAACAATACATATTATGCTCCATTCCATCCCCAGCCACAGTAGCAAAATCTAAATCAGGCTTCAAAACCAGTGTTCCCAGCAAGTCCCTCTGATTCTCTCCCACATCAGCCACTTCCAACCCAAAGGTAGAGGAATGGGCATCAGCATCACCCAAGCTTGCACAACACCTCAAAGTCCCAGGCCTGCCCCAAGGCCAGCAGCAGCCCAGCTGTTCAGTGGTTTTGCATGGCAGAGCACTGCACTGAATGCCCTGTTAGACTAACTGCAGCTAATTGTTGAAGGACAAAGATTCAGAAGTGACCGGACAAGTGGATGGCTGTGATATTCCCCTGCATGGCAGCCTCCTACCTGCTGATGTGAAAGAAACAGGATTTTGCTGGTTTGTGGCAGTATTCAGGGAAATCTGAGACAGGGAAATGAACAGGAACCTGACCCTTCAGAGCCTGCCCTTAAACATATACACACACCTCCCTGTTTTAACTCTTGATTTTTACTGAGCTTCGTCTACTATTGTTTATTCTACTCTCAGTCCAAAAACATTTCACTGTGTCCAAAACTTACAATTCTCAATACTAGAAAGGTCATGCCATTGTACTTTAACTCCATTTGGCATGCAGCACTACTGCAACATGTCCAAGGTGCAGACAAGATGTAGAGCTCAGGACTGCAAACAGAGTGCAGCATCAGTGAAATCGTGTCTGTGGATGTCACCGTGCTCCTGTGGGACAGCTTGAATTATCCACAAAGAACAATTAATCAGTTCACTGTAATTAAAACACATTTCACGGCTGCTGATAAATAGAAGCAGCATGGATCTCCAGATCTCCTGCCTGACCTCCAGGTCTCCCAACTCCCCACTGAAGCCACAGGAGCCCCACACAGACTGCTGACACTGGGTTATTCTTGAACAGCAGGCTGACAGAAGGACAGCTCAGCCAGGCCAGCTTTTCTGGAGCCCCTGTTGGGAGCACACAGTGAATGCACCAAGTGTTGTGGCAGCAGGAGCCTGGCCACAAACACCACATTTCCAGGGCACACTGCAGCAGCCTGTGCACAGCCCGTGACCCTGACAAAGGCCCACTGGCCACACTGACTCCACAGCTAGCCCAGAGCCAGGACTGCTAGAGACTAGGCTTCCCATACCCAAAAAGCAGCACGGAGTAACACTGATGGCTTCAAAGCACAGACAGTTATGTTTTAAAGAAGACCTTTACTGTGGATATATTACAGTATATATGAACTAAATTAACAAACTATTAAAGCCACTAAATCAAATGTACAGTTTATCAGCACAACCATGAACCTTTTGCTATCAGTTTCTTCCCAGTTACCATAACTGAATGCAGATGTAGGAAAACAGATGCACGAGCTGCTCTCTGCCTCAGTGCAGACTGAGCCGAAGCACACAATAACAGTAATTCTGTGCAAATTAAGCAACACCATTTCACATATTCCATTTTCAAAAATCAAGTTCTTTTCTTTCATTTTGTTCTCAACAGTGCTGGTAAATAGATAATCTCAAATAACAACAGTAACAAATTGGTTATATAAAGGTTTATCAGTTTTCCCTGAAAATTTTCCGAGGGCGTCTAATGCTACCAGGCACATTAATTCATAGCTGATGCACTAAGCCTCTCATAAGCAATGTCATTAAAATAAGATATAATTCAACAAACATCAGGATTAACACTTCAGTATATTTTTTCCTACATACATACATGGTAAAAATGATCTTCTACGTATGAAAATAAAGGGAATATAAAGCCTTCATTTGTAAACAATTATGCATTGACACAAATCCTAAAAAAAAAACTGCTTTCAAAAATTTAAACTAATTTGAGTTTATTTTACAAGCTTAAATGCTTTCTACAGTCATATATGGTGCTCAGGATCTCTATTTGAAAAAATATCCTGTTGCAAACAGGTGAGTATGCTTCTAAAAACATCAAGATTTATGTGTTTGTCAATAGCATTTTATCTCTAGGCAGGTACTTTCAGGTTTTACCTACCACGTTTTCTTTTACACTAAGCTCCAATCTTTATTTTCCCTGTCTCTCTCCATGTAGAACACTGTGTTTAATGAAGTTTTCTCACTCCCACTCACCTGACGAGCATATGCCATCTCCACACTGTCCATGGAGCTGCGACCTGGAGGACCCACCTCACCAACATAGCTGGGCTGTTGAATGAGAAGTGTAAAGGAAGATATGAAGTACAGAATTACCACAATGCATTTTACCAATACATCTGCTCCTAAAGAGCAACAGCAAAACCATGTTCCTGACAGAACTAAGAACAGGGTTTTGAACCATCTACAGAGAAAAATGCAGTCTCACTGCAATACCCCATTATCTTCCCAAAATAGCTTAAACTTTCTAGAGTGACAGAAATCCTCCTTATTCAGTGCACAAACCAACCATTAGCTCTCTAGAATTAGGACATCAGTGTCTCTTGGTAGCACCATATAATTTTAATTCTTTGCTTTTGTTTCTTAAAAGGTTGCTTCTTGTCAATGTCTTGCTGTGAGGCATCTACTCTGAACCTCCATCACAGCAAGGACATAGAATTCAACAGACGAGATCAAATAGATCCAATCTGTCAGATCTGATACTCCAGTTTTGTCCCAGTACCATGATATAGACATAAAACAGGACTGCAGAATTCAGTTGTGTGCTGGGAAGTGCCCCACTGCTGGTCTGCTGCAAGAGGAAGTATGCTGGCAGTATCCTGACCTGAAAAAAGGAGTCTTTTTACCCACAGAGACTATGCCAAGATTGAGATATTTTGAGCATAGAGCAGGGACAGACAGCCAATGAAATCATGGCATCCAAAATTCATACTCTTATAAAACTCATAATACAACATGCCACAATAGTATAATGTTGCATAAAGTGATTTTAATTATTCACTCCAAGGCACAGGTATGTTCTCAGTACAGCCACCACTAAACATAGATGTTCAGTACTCTGGAAGAAAGAATACTCTGAGCAATGCTCTGCTATTTCCTGTTTTCTAAAAGAATGTAATTCTTCATTCCAGCATCAGCATTGCAAGTCTTGAGTTTGAAAAATAAAGTACAATCATTTTAAAGACAGATCCCTTTGAGGTAACAGTCCTTTAATATCAGCTGCTTCAGAAGCCATGCTGGTCTGAAGATCAAAGCAAGACAAGCTCAGTTCAGAAGCAAAATATTTATTATGAAGCCAACTGACAGAGTTGGGGCAAGCAAAAAGGAACAGAGAAGCTTTCAGCAAAGCAAGGTTTCCAAGCTTGTTACCATATAACTCAAGGCTGTGGATATTCATCTAAACTGGAATCAGTAATTTTTTCCGAGAAAGGGCAGGTACATCTGCAGAGTTTAAAAATTAAGCTTTTTACCATCAAAGTCAGTTACAACTGGCTGCACATCCTCATTAGTTGTTCCAGTGCACCTAAGCAATACGGTCAAACAGCTTTACTGCTTCTTACACTTGTTACCCAGAATGTCAGTACTTTACAGTGCAGACAGGATCACCTCCACGGATTGCCTCATTATGTGCTCTAGCCTTGCCTGGAAGAGTTCACTTAAATGTGACCAACTTGCTGCCTGCACAAACAATGTCCAAATGCAATAGGAAAATCATTGTTTTCGCTTCCAGTTCAATCAGCTTTAGAGTTCAGCCTCGCTGACACCTGTCAGACTGCAGCAATGTTCCTGCCATGACCTGGCTTGTGTGGATTTCAGGAAGTGATCCAGAAAGGGACAGCTTTTCTCCAGATGGTGCCATCATTCAATTTCTTGTTTCAAATGTGGATGAAATACTGGCAGAGTCTTCAAAATATTTTTTTTTTGGGAACTGTATCTCAACTTCAAAATGAAATAACACAAACAAATTCCAGACATGTTATTGTTCATTGTAAAACTGATCATTCTCTCAGTCTTCCCCAAATTAATTTTATTTTGGTATTAGTTCAACCTGGAATATCTTCTACCATGTAAGACCTCTCTTACACTCATGACCATGTGTCCTTACAAAGACAATTACTACTCATTGTCCCAGTCCAGGAGTTTTGATCAGTAAAGTGTTCACAAGTTAAAATTTAAAAAGAAAAAAAAGTTACACAATTGGAATGGCCAAGAAACTGTTCTACGCTGGCTAAAAATTTATACATGAAGATAAAGGCACAAACCTCTATCATGAAATGATAAGAGCTTTGTGATATCTGTAGTTACAGGTTTCTGTGCAGCATACAGCAGTTGATTAAAGAATGAAAAATACTCAGCAATGTTCGTCCCTAACATAATGAAATATAAATGAATGGAGGTACCAAGGATAAACCTGGACAATCCTTTAAAATGGCTGAAATTAGTTTATTACTGCATTAATTTCTCACTAATGCTATTTAAATAATGTTTAACTTGATTGCAAAATCAGGCAGGTGCATTTAGACCTCAGGCTCCAAAAAAAGGCCTTACAAAAAACCCAAAAGCAATTTCACTTTTCTTTCTGCAACTGAACTTACACTAAAAATATTCTTCCCAGTCCCTCTTAGTGGGTACTGATATGCAGAAGCATCTGCATTTTTCTTTTATTGCCAAATCATCTGACACAAATTCCTTTAAACCCACCTAAAACCCGACAAATTCTTTGTTCTAAAGAACAAAGAAACTGTTAAAGCAGGTTTCCTGGGAAACAGACACGATGGCAGAAATAGCGCTTTGCAGTCTTTCCCTGTGCCGAGCCAGATAAAATGCAGAGTTATTTAAAGTAATGCTAAATTATGGACACTGTCATTAATTACCGATGAGGTTTCACCTCCTAAAGCAAGTGAAGACTGTACATAGTGACTTAGTGTCACTTTCAGCCACTGCCCAAGCAGCAGACACACAGGGACTGGGGCTCTGTTTTGTGAGTCTGTTCTTTTTTCTGCTTTGCGGCACCAAAGAGCACCCACGAGGCTGCCACTCCAGAGACTGGTGTGTGACTGCCAGGCTCAAACCAATTCAGGTAACAAGCTGAATTCAAAAGTGCACGCCTGAAACTAAGAAATAACTGCTCTGGGGTTGGGTTTTCCTTTCCTTTCACCAATTTTAGTTTAACCATTATGCTTTAGCAAACACTTCTTAACTAGCTGCTGCAGCTGAGAACTGTCACACTGAAATTAAATTCTTCCAATTCTAATGACTTGGCACTTCAGGAAAACAAAAATCAAGAAATCTAGAATTTGTCCTAACTTTCTTATACTTTTCTTTCCTATGGAAAAAGAGCCATGGAAGTAAGCTTATTTCCTATTTTTTTCCCACCTCATGCATGCATTCTGGCTTCACCTTTGAATTATTAAACTACAAGAAAGCACTAGCTCACTGAACCATCACATGGCTGTACTAAAGGGAAAGTTCAAAAGGAAAACTAAAGCAGTGAGTCAGCATGGGGAAGGCCACTTCCACGGCTCCCCCTGAACAAATGGCAGAAATGGATTGTGCAGGCAATCCTTCCCAAGAAGGGAAGGATTTTCCCCCCTACAAACTAATGGGGGAAAGTGGAGGGGGGAGGATATTCTTTGCTGGCAAGTCAGAACTTACCAAGTTTCAAGCAAGAAAAAGATAATAAGAGATGTGCTCAAAACAGCAGCTAGGAGCATATGAGAAGCAGCATGTTTCAGGTCAGGTTTTGAAGTTTAACTGGAGCAGCAAAAGGAAAAGCAGAAAAGTGGGGGATGCACAAAGGACTGCAGAAGTGTAAGTGCACACACACAAATCTTGCTGTATCTCTAGTCTGATATTGCTTAAATGGCTTGTGCTGTTTTTCTCAAACACCTTTGCTTTTCCCTGCCCTGAATTTTGATCTTTCCAAAACATTATTCTGAACTGTAATATTTATTCTGAATATTATGCATTTCTCCAAGCTGCAGCTTAGCTGCACTTCCATCACATTTTTAACTTTTAAATTCACTTAGCCAAACGATGCTGCTTTTCAAAGGAGCCCTCCTTCATTTGCACTCAGCCAAGCATTCAGCCTCACTTGCACACCAAACCCAGTGCATGCAAAGATGCATTATTCATCACCCTCATATGCATATGCACATTCCTCAGCAGAAGTCTGGGCAGACATTTTGTCAGCACTCCAAATGGCTTGGCCAGTAGACACAGTGAATATCTAGGCAGGAGACCAAGCTGGAGAAACCCCATCAAAATACACTGTGGTGGAGTGGAAGCATCTTGCAGTGCTTGGGATTTAAAGGGTATGAAGACATGATACAGAGGAGCAGAACAGAAACCAAGAGGTGCCAGTGTGTCCCTATCACTGCAGGGGCATCCTGCTTGACAGTGGGAGGGAAGAGCTTATGGCAAGGGTGGAAGAAACAAAAACCTGGAATAAGGAAAAACTTGGAAAAGGACAAAGGAAATGCCTTGGCACCTCATGGCACAACAGTCATAACAAACACCTTCAGACCAGAGGTGTTTGATAGCTTGAAGACAAATCTCAGGCTTTTATCCCTTTCCAGCCCCACAAGAAGCACCTTTATATCAGCTCTGCTTTTCCCTGAACAAGAAGGTGGCCAGGCTGGAGGACAAGGGAGAACAGAAAACCTCAATGGCAAGTCCTGCACTAGGTTCTTTGAATCGTGAGCTTTGCTTGTTAATTGGTCTTATTTCAATGAATAATGTGTTGGTATTTCACTCTGCCCAAATTAGCTTGCCCAAAGCTTGAGAATTGGCTTGCAGGCAGACCCGGCCCCCTGCTGCGTTTGGATCTGTGCCTTTTCAGCTGATTCTCCATCTCCAGAGGATATCAATTAAACCTCTACTATATTCTACAGGCTGTGTCTGTTTGTGTCACATACACACAAAAAACTTATTTGACTGGAACAAGGCTTTAGAAGAACAACCTGCTGTGGGGAGGTTAGATAACAGGCTTTTAACACAGTAGATGCACTTCAAACCTCTCAGACCTTTGACTTCTTGAGGCTAACACTAGAATATATCAAGGATTTTAAATGCTCTTGAAATGACATACTGCTACTATGAAAGCTTTGAAACAGAGAGAGGAGTATTACTGAGTGACAGTGTACACTGAGTCTTTAAACACATTCACCAGAAACATTAGGAGCTGAGTTTTCTCCCCTCCTCCCTCACACCAATTTGATGCTTGGCATCTCAAGTGCCATGGACTGGGGGTAGTGTCCATTTGACAATGAAACACCAGAATAGGGTTTTTACCTGTTCAGAGTGCATTATTAAATTACTTCTGCTAGCAGCTAACATCCACACTCCAAAAGGAAAACCCCACACCAGTAACTAGCACACAAATCAAAGACGTTAGAGGGTATCAGTGTATTAACCAAGCCTTCAGATTCACATCCTAAAATAATGGGATAGCTGTTCCTAGTTTAAAATTAAGCCAGTCTGCATTATTTAGCATTTCTAATATTGGAAAGCTGGACAACCTTTGAGAAGTCCCAGTAAAGCATCAGAAAAATACTTTCTCGGAAGACAGTCCCTATAAAAAGAGGTATGCTAACTGGGATTAACCTATATTTAAAAGAAGAGTAATCAGAAAGGAACATTTCATTAACAATTTTAATTATTTCCAAATCCCTATACAGGTCATACCACATTAGCACCAAGGGCTTTTTAAATTTCAGTATACTTGCAGGTCATCCCAATGAACAGGAATTCATTTGCATGGGTAGAGAATGTGGCTATAAAAAATGTGTCTCTTTTTCAGCCTGAAAGCACAGCAACTTGCATCCCCCCACTCCCTATCCCCTCTCTTCTCAAAGCAAGCATTTTCACGGAGCACAGTGCAGCAGCAGTGATGTAACTGTGCTCCAGGGATCACAGCTGCTGTCTGATGCTTTCAGCTCAGAGGAGCCGGGCTTCCAACAACCTGCACATAACTCTGCTTTGCTCTACTCATTTAATTGAAACATTTTCTTTAAGAGAATAAACTGGAAAAGGTTTAAATTGTAACAGAAGATAAAGAATGTTTTAGGATGATGGTCTTGCCCAAAGGATTTGGTCACTGCTGGATTAACCTGAACACTAGAGGTCTGAAAAGCACAGAATTCTAATCTGCTCTGCATGAGACAGCAAGATAAAAAGGAAAGCTTTTTTTTTTTGTTTATTCATTTGGTTTTGCCAAGAAACCTGAGAGACTTCATCAGTCTCCTAAGAAAAGCCATAAATCCAGGCCAGCACACAGTAAGGGGAAGAGACACTCTAAGACCTATGTGCAAGCACAATTGCACCTGAGAAACTCCCTGGTGTCACATCACAAGGGTTTCCTGTAGCCCCCAGTGTGTTTTCTGTCCCCTGGGTATATTGACCTAAAATGTGTTTGTGACTAAGTTCCAGCCAGCACATATGTTGCTCAAAACACAGCTTCAGCAACAGCAGCTCCATTGCCTGTACCCATCAGCCAATAAACAGAAACAATCACAAAGGTTTGATATTCTGCTAGACAACGCATTCTGCTAGTCAGAGCCATTCTAGAATTAAATAGGGATTTTATATTTCTCATTTTCACACAGTTGTAGTGGTTTCAGAGGTGGTTTCAGGAGTGCTGGAATGCCAGCTGTGTACAGTGCTGTGTGTGACTGTGTACAGCATTTAGAAAGACAATTACCTCATTTTCCTGGGTGAAATCAAGAGCATCTTCTCCTGACGCAAGCAGAGAATGAAGAATTCTTTGTTTCACCTGCTCCCATTCAACCAGCATTGATTCCCGGTGATACTCCTCAGCCATGGCAAAAGTCTGTTAGTGAAGAAGAACAAGAGCTAAGGAACATATAGAAACACCCACCAGCCTAACTCTGCTATTAATAGACAAGCCCAAAAATGAAACAGAAAATAGCAACTACATATATCAACCAGGTCAACCCTCAAGAGCTGATGGTGTGCTGCATATTATTTTAACAGGCTTCCTGTTCAGGTACAATGGGATTCAGAAAGTAGGTGTACATGGAATTAAGACAACTCTCACATACCCCCAGCTGGTAAAAGAGGGAAACTGTCTTTTCCATAGCACAGCAACACAGGAATCTGAGCAGGCCAAAAATCAGAATGCTTCCTTCTTTAACTTAGCAGCACACACACAATATCCAGGTTCATCACTGATCTGTGTGGTTTGTTGAGACTTAACTTCTCTAATGGCCACTTGCTTTTCACCTCCCTGGAGGCTACAAAGGTCTGACTCACTACATTCTTAACAAAGATGTGTGTTTATGGCACATAATCATTTTCAGGTCTTTACCAGTGTATTTTTCTTTTAAAAGGGAAATAGGATAAAATAAAATATCAAAATACTAAGGGAAAATACACCAGTGTCAAAGAATCAGGAAGTCTCTTTATCAGGAACATAACTTGGGAAAGCACACAGGAAAATCAAATCCCAAGAAAAAAAAACCTTTACCTTTAAAATGGCTGATGTACTACATTATTTCAGATCCAATTGAGGAACACATGGGAGGGAAAAGCTTTTCCCTCAGTAAGGGAAATACTCCCTTATTTTGGTAATAGCATTAGGATAGAGAAGATGCTTCACTACCTTTTCATTATTGGGGTGAGACTAACAGCTTCAGGTATACCACCACAGGAAATAAGAGACTCTCCATTAATTCTAAAGAGAGAATAAGCTATATTGTGTCTTGTGCTTCTCTCCTTTTCACACAGCCCTGTGCTGCAACATACTTAACTAAATGTCTTGGTTGGCTAAGTTTTTCATTTAATTGCAGTTCACTGCTAGGATATTGTCAATTAATGAGCAAAACATTCCTCAGAAGAAAGACTTGATAAGAGACAGTGACATTTGGCAAACAATTACAGTGCAAGCATGCAACTAGAGCTTAAGATTTGTGTTTCTTTGCTGTGTTATAAAATTCACTTTATACTTTCATGGCAGGATATAGGTTTTACCCATACCTTCTCTATAATCACAGGGTTTTAAATATGCTTCAATACTTACAGATAATTTTATATAATTTAAATATTTTGATAATGCTTAGGTAGCATTTCTTATCATTTGAAAGAAACACAGACTCAGTTCTAAACCTGATGCCCCCAGTACACATGGAGGGAAACAATCATAACATGAGCACTAGGAAGTACAGAATAACATTTTGACATTTCCAAGGAGTTTCAAGACAAACAGGAAGAATTTTTCCATGCTTCATGATTCAATTGCGAAAAATCACTGTCCCAGAACATGGCAGATACAAAAAGCACAAATAGATTCAGAAACAGGATTAGATTAATTTCCCATCAGAAAACAAGCTGCTGCTCAGATAATCTTCAAAACAGCTATTTGTTCACAGGTGAAGATACAGGAGATGAAGAGGGGAAGTCTAACTCTGTCTTTTTCTTACAGACTAAATACTGATCCCTTTCAAGGGAAGAAAATTAGACTCTGCAAACCTCTCCTGGTTTTTGTTTTTAGGCAAAAACAATGGTGCTTTCTTCCAACTTACCCTCCTCCTAGACTCTTCAATGGCAGATAGCAATGCATTATCTTTTTCATTCTTCAGGAATCCCTGCAAAAAAGGAAAACAGAGCTTCAGATAAAAAAATCAGGGTTGCACTAACATCACACACCTACTGTAGTACTCGGCTATTTCAGCTCTGAGAAGTGCTCAGAACTCTCCCTGAAGTCCAGTCCCAAGAAGTTTAGAAGTCACTTTACTTCACCAAAGGTACAGTAAGATGCCCATCCAGAGCAATGTGAAAATGAAAATGCATTAATCCCCTCTTTTAATATGCATTAAATCCTGGTGAAATGTCCTGCTTCTAGTCTCTTTTATCTCTGTGTCCCAGAATCTGCTTCCTCCTGCTCTCCATTTGAGGGAGCTAGGATGAAAGCTGGTAGGAGAGATAAGCCAAGATAAGATTGTTGGACTTGAGTATGCTAAAAAAAATAAAGCAGGCTTTGACTTGGCAGCTTCAGACAGAAGTGAAGCTCTTGGAGATCTGACACAACTGTGAAAAAGAGCCTTAAAAATAGTCAGTTGACGAAGGATGGAAATAACTAAACAGTTAGAAAGCATACAGAAAAAGTTTACCACACAATTTCTCTCCATGAATACAGCTGGACTGGGTAAAAATGAAGAAAATTAAGAATTGTATTTTTAGTTCTCAGTATATGAGAAAATCTCAAAGAGGTCAGGTATGTGTGAACAAACTGATTTACATGAGCAGTTAGCTCCTTATCCCAAAGGTTACTTTTATGACCTATACTAGGAAATATAAAATGAAGTTTTAACTTTAAACAAGTAGCTGTGGGGTAAAATGCAGTAGCACACAGAGACAACAATCAGGGTATGTTTATCACATTTTAACATTCATATCTTTATTTTGAATTTTCATTGTTACATCACCAATTAAATAAATCAAGCTGATTTGTATGCCCAGACTTCAAATTGATCATTATTCAGGTCATAAAAAACAAAAATAAGCTTTTGTATCCCTCTGAAATAATCAGCTATACCTTATCAACACCATTAAGTGCTAATATCTTAAAAGTCTGTACACTCACTCCCACAGCTCTAAAACCAAAAGCTGCCAACAAACCCAGAGAGAGGGAACTCAGTGGACCATACTTATGATTTTATAAAGAGAAAATACAGTTGCAGCAGTCTCCAACTGAATTTGTCAGGAATCAGGACTATTTTGTGCCTTTTAGTCTCCCCATCTTCCTGCAAAGAATTCCTGTGGTGACACACGGAGATTTAAGCTTTTGGAAAAATATATTTATGGTAGGTCTTAGAAACTGCCCTGCAGCAGTAATATATACAACCACAAGTATCACAGAGTGATACTTAGCTCTGGGAGGTGAGGAGCAATTGAAATCTCCCCAGCCTGAAGCAATCTAGCAGGACACTGTTACATAGGTGTGCTGCTTGCTTCCTGCTCCCCAGCCCAGCATGTGAAATGAAGGGCATTGCACCCTCTCCTTCTGAAATATGTAGAACAAGCATTTGAGGTACATGGGACAGGCTGTGACCCCCTTCAGCTGGAAATAAGAAGGTGACCCCTTTCTTTACACCAGAGAACAAGCTGCCATCCTCCAAGAGCCGTGCGGTGCAGCTCCCCAGAAACAGCCCTTGAACTACACACGGAAGACAGCGGTCACCGCTACCCAGCCTATTCTTCATTTCACCTGCCGACAGGTCCTGCTTTATTTTTAGACAGTGCCCACAGAGAAATCACAGTTACAACCCGAAAAAAAGGAAGCTAAATCCAGATCCTTGCACACGTCTGGGGACCAGCTATTACAGCAGCTGTCACTGAGACAAGGGTTGCCGCAGCCACCTAACTGGGCCAAGGCCCAGCCTCAGCTCTGTGCAGGAGAAGGATGGAGACGTGTCTTGTTAGGCTTGTCCCTGCCTGCAGGGGTAGAAGGACTTTGGGAGGGCAACGAGTTTTCTGGGTTCCTTTTTTTTTCCCCCACCTTCAACCTAAAATGGAGAAAAATTATCTGGAATTAAAACAAGCAATGGTTCTAGACCTTCAGAGCACACACCAATACGTGAACAGAAAAGACAGAGCAGTTTTGATGGTAGAGATCAAATGCTGCAGAGAACAGTGTGTTAGCTGTATTTTAACAACACTGCTAATTTTACAGTCAAAACCAGCCCATTGTCTCGAAGATGCAGACCTACAGTTACCTGGATGTGACGTATGGTGTGAACTTGCAGAGGTCCCGAATGCCTGACTCTCTGATTGCTCTTTGAGCGCTGGACTCCTAAAAAACCCAAGAGATACAAGTCCTACATTTCCTGCCCTTGGTCTTCCCCTCTTTCCTTTCAGGGATGTGTGCACTAGCAGCTACCTGCCTAGAAACGTACATAGCAATGATGGTAATCAACAGGGTAATTTAAGATGTGCTTGAACTTCCCTTGATGTCAGTAAATCCAGGCTGAGTATCTTAATGAAACCACCCAGCTCCCAGAGAGTTCTACTAGGTCTGTTTAAGGGATCATATTACACCGAATGCCAATTAGAGGATAATTGTCTTTTTCAATCTCAAAAACTACTTCTTTAACAAAATAAAATCCTCACATATCCCAAATAACATCTGTAATGCCTCACTAAGGAGAAATAAATTTTAAAAAGGTCGCCCTATGTCTTTTCTGCTTCAATTAATTACAGGCTAATTGTTAAACCTCAGAAGAGGGAGTTTCAGTAACTGACGCTGGAACTCCTGTTACTGCTGGTGCGAGCTGCTTGTACTTAGGGCACATAAGAGCTCCTGGGGGTGTCACTCCCGGCTTTGGTGGCCAGAATTTCACTTCGTTAAGAAAGCGAGGTGCGTCCGGCTTGCTGCCGGATTCCCTGGATTTATCGCATTGCCACCTAGTGGTGCACTACACTTTGATCACCAGATTTCACGGATATATATATAAATGTACACAAATGCACCTCTGCTGCATGAAAAAGCACAGTCCAGGAACAAACATAGGCAGAAAGATGGCAGAGATGCACTTTACATCAGAGAATTTTTGTCCTCAGAAATCTCAGGTCACTTTAAGGGATCACGTATCTCTTAAGAAGGCTGGGCTGTGAACAGCACTGGTTGTGCTCACAAGTTACATGTGCCCTAAAAGCTTTCCCCAATCCCAGAGGCAAGGTTTGACTTTGCCACGAACGCTGGCAGACTCTAACAAGGATACAGAGGTGCAGCGTTCAGCACGCATGGGGAGTGCACGACCCACAAAGCGGAGCTGCCCTCTCAGGGGAGATGCTGCTGATTGTACAACAGTAGCCAGACATTGCTTCACACTCAGCATCCAAAGAGAAAAACAGGAGAACAGAGATTATTGTTAGGAGACAAAAGGCTATTTCACAGAGGCAGATGGTAAAGATAGGAACAGCCAACACTAGCATTGCTGTAATCTCAGAGGTGAAAGAAAACCTCTCACCTTGCAGCTCGCCATGCACAAACTGCCAGTGCAGGGATCCCAGCGTAGCCTGGATTTTGCTTGAAAATGAAAATCTTACTTCCCTCAGGCAGGTTTATGCAAAAAGCTCACAGAACCTTAATGCCACATCACTCTGCCCTCTTTTAGTGAGTAGCTTTTGATTTTCCTCTCTTTTACTGTCTGACTCCCACACATCCTTCCTGCATCTAGTTTAGAAGGGAAGCAGCATAACTCTTCTCCATCACCACTTCTTTGCACCACTCACTGCTGAATGTTTCCCACACACCATTTGTACAATATCCGATGTGATGGTGTTTGCAAAACAGGGACACAGGCATAGAAACACACCCACTCTCACACCTTCAGGCTCCTGCTTCTCGGTTAGTCCTGTTTACACTTACGTGTCTACTGACTCTCAGCATCTTTCTAAGCACATTCCAGATCCTCTTGGATCTCCTACACCTTGAATTTCAGCCTGATCTCACAGTCTCCCCTTTTTGCTGAAATCCAGCCTCACTCTGCTTCACTCTATGATGGTTTGTAGAAGTGACCCCACAGTGGAAGGGCAGGACAGGACCCCTGGCAGCCCATGCTTGCTCAGCCACTGACTCACACAGGCTGGTTTGACAGCAACCAGCACCTGCCTCGATCCAGCCTCAATTCCAGCAAGAGCGTGTTCCAGTAGTTCATTATCAGTATAAAAGGGCACACGTGCACACACCAATGGTCTCTTTTTGACAGGAGACTGAAAGTCTCTTCCATTTACTGCAGTAAATGGGGTTAGTAAACTCTCCTGGCTGAGAGAAGTCTCTTAATTACTTTCATCAGCCAGGCCATACTTTTAATACTTGATCTTAGTATTCAAGCTGTCAAGAGAAGGCGAATGTTGCCAAATAGTATATTGAGGCTTTGGATGTTGACAGCAAAGGGTACTTTTTCACTGGCACAGAAAGAAAGAAGAAAATTAAATGAACAATCTGGGACCATTTCAAGTCAATTGCTCTTAGATTAAAATATTTCCAAGTGCCGGATTTCCAGTAGATCCAGTGAATCCAGCAGGGGCAGTTAACAAAAATCACTCTGGCAACTCCAGGTGAAGCACCTGAATTTATTATTTCTACTAGCAATTCTGAAAAACAATTTGCTAAATACAGTCCTATTGAAAACATGGATACATCTGAGCCCACTCCTGAGATGGTGTACCCTGGCACAACCCTCCTGGTCATGTTCTGTCTGGAAACAGAACGTGAAGCAAAACTACTTGTCACTTTTTAAATCTAAATTATTGCCTGTGCTGACACAAGCATCAGTGCTTGTTGGCTGGTTTTAAATAGATGGGCCAAAGGGTGAAGAGTCATGGCCAGCTATTGTATTCCCAAGGATGGAGACACACCAGTGTAGCATGGGCAGTATTTCAGTCTATTCACTCTTCCTTTGTCTGTGTGACACCACCCTGTCACACATACAATATGTGGAATACAATACGGAAGCTTCCATAGGTCTCCCATGATTTGTTTTTCAGAAAGCATCAGGGTTTCTGGGCTAAAGCCATGCAGATAAGCAGCTTCACTACATACTTTGGCCAGTGCAATACTGTGCCCTTCAAAGCAGCAAGG